TAGCTGTAATCGTTTATCCCTTGGGACATAGATATAGTTCTTGAATAAGAGAAGTCCATGCTGATTTTTTGAGAAATTCTGTAGTCCAACTTTCTCAAGAGAGGAACCTTTCTTCTGGAGGTATTCCAAAGTTCTTTTCGCAAAGGGATTATGGTTGTAAGCATCTTTGAATGCTTTAAGAAGTGTTGCTGAGGGTGTATAGTCTTTAAAGGTCTCTGGTTCCTGAGAAGAGGTAATGGGGGCAACTTGGTCTTGAGGGGATAAGTTTCCCTCTAAGTCCTCTGTAGTGCGAGGGTTGCTTAAAGATGCTGCTATAAGCTTTGTAGAGTCTAGCAGGGCCTTTGTATTGCTTGTTTTAGCAGAATCTTGGTAGTCATGTCTTCTTGAGAGGAGATCTGCTCTTTGATTCTTGGCCCCTGAGACATGTTTTATAACAAAGTCAAAACCTCCTAGTTGTTCAGACCACCTTGCTTGTCGTCGATTGAGCTGTTTAGTGGTTGTAAAGGTCAAGAGATTTGAATGGTCACTGTAAATAGTGATAGGATAGTTTGCCCCTTCAAGGTAGCATCTCCAATGCTTTAGAGAACATACTATGGCAAGCAGTTCCTTGTCTGTAATGGGATAGTTTTGTTCGGCTGCTGATAGCTTTCTTGAGTAAAATGCCACAGGCTGTAGCTCTTCTTGTTTGTCTTTTGGAGCTTGGTATAAGATTCCAGAAATGGCAAAATCTGAGGCATCTGTCTCAAGAGTGGCAGGTTTCAAGGGGTTAAAGTGTAGTAACATTTTCCCTTCTTTGAATTCTCCTTTAAGAGCATCGAAAGCATCTTGCTGTGTCTTATCCCAGTGATACAAAGTGTCCTTGTGAAGTAATTGAGTAAGGGGTAAAGCCAAGGATGTATATCTTGGTATAAACCTCCTGTAATAGTTGGCAAACCCAAGGAAAGACTGAACCTCTTTAATGCTGGAAGGAATAGGCCACGTTTGTACTGCTTTTGTCTTTTCAGGATCCATCTGAATGCCTTCTGTTGAAATTCTATGTCCCAAGAAATCAACTTGAGACATATGGAAAAGACATTTCTCAAGTTTGCAAAAGAGTTGTGCTTGAGATAGCTTCTCTAAGACTTGTCTAACATGTAGAACATGCTCTTGAGTGTCTAAAGAGTATATAAGAATGTCGTCTAAGTAGACAACAACAAAGATATCCAAGTAAGGTCTTAGAATATCATTCATGAGAGCTTGGAAAGAAGCAGGTGCATTGGCAAGCCCAAAAGGCATTGGTATTCAAAATGACCATAGCGTGTTCTAAATGCTGTCTTCCACTCATCATCTTCCTTGATGCGTATCAGGTTATAAGCTCCCCTGAGATCTAACTTGGTAAAGATCTTTGCTGAAGAGAGCCTATCCATGAGCTCAGGGATAAGGGGTAAAGCATATCTGTTTTTAACAGTGACTGCATTAAGGCCCCTATAATCAACACAGAGACGCAAGGAGCCATCTTTCTTCTTGACAAAGAGAATAGGAGCTCCTGCTGGTGAGGAAGAAGGTCTGATAAAGCCAGAACTAAGGTTCTCATCTAGGTATTCTCTGAGAGTTTTCAGCTCTAATTCAGATAGAGAGTAGATAGGGCCGTAGGGAGGCATTGAGCCTTTTGCGAGTGGTATCTCATGGTCATAAGGCTGGTGCTTTGGCAGAATTGATGCCTTTGCCTTGTCAAAAAGATGTTGGTAGTCTTGGTATGCTAAAGGCAAAATGACCTCCTGAGATGATTTCTCCAAATCTGAAGTAGCTGCTATCTCCAGGACAGGTTGGAAAGGTTTCACCCATATCAGAGATGATATATCGTCCATAGTTTGGTCAAAATCCTTGATCTGGGACAAGTTTGAGTCTTGGACCTGAATAGGGGTAACTGAGGCTTGAAGGGTTTTTTCAGTATTGAGCTCAGGATTTGAGCTAAACCCAAGCGATAAATGCTTCCAATTGATAGTTGGATCATGCCTTTGAAGCCATGGAAGACCTAGGATAACTGGGTACTTCATTGGTATAACATCTAAAGAGATGGTGTCTGAAAATGTTGATTTTCCTAGGGGAATCTCAAGTTTGAGTACTGGGGTGTTGCAGGTAATGGAACCTGAACTGATAGGAGTTCCATCAATGACTCGGAGCAACTCTGGAGTGCGTTTGGGAATTGTAGGTAACTGGTGTGTCAAGATGAGGTCTTGAGATATAAAGTTGCCTGTTGCCCCTGAGTCTATCATAGCCCTTGTAGACAACACCTGTTGTTTGAAATGGAGTTGAATAGGGATTAACAGGTGTGTGAGACTCTGAGAAAGCACCATCGACACATCTTTGTTGTCTAGGGGAGAAGTTGTAGTCTCAGTTGAAGTTGTGCCTGGTGGGGATTTTTCAAGTTTTTTAGGAATAGCAGCTGTGACTGTGTCTGAGGCTGCTATATGTTTTGATTCAGCACTCCCCCGTGCTGAATAGCACTCCTGAATTCTGTGCCCCCCTTTGCCACAGTATAAACAAAGGTTGTTGACCATTCTGTGTTTTCTTTCTTGAGGAGTAAGTTTACCCCTTTTCAGTTTTTGAGGGCTTCTTGTAGGCTGAGGTGCTGGATTTGCTGTAGATCTCTTTATAGAGGCGTCTAAGTCCATAGGTTCAGGTGCTGAGTCCTTAGCAGTTGGTGTAGAGGTGTAATTGTTGAAATTTCTTGTTGGATGCCAGTCTTGGTTCTTCTCCTTTCTTCTTTCAAAAAGCCTATCATCAAGTCTGACAGCTTTCTCTATAAGCGTTTGAAGTGTTGTAGGGCGTTCTTCTTTGCTGAGTTCATCCTTAATAGAGCTCTTGAGCCCTTGGTAGTAAGTGAAGACTAAGGCTTCTTCATTCCAAGTCAAGTGAGAAGTGATTCTCCTAAATTCTGTTGTATACTGAGCAGCAGAGGTCTTTTGACATAGCTTCTGTAGCTCTCTTTCTGCTGTAGCAGTTTCGTTGATGTCTCCAAAGGTCCTGGTAAGTTCCTCTTGAAACTGGTCATAAGAGGTAATCAAAGGTGTAGTGGTATTTTGGTTGTTGCCACTAAGTCTTCTAAGATATGGCTCAAAGAAGTTGAATGCAGATCCACGGAGGTAGCTGGCAGCGAAATATATCTTCTGAATATCTGAGGTGAACTGATGAGGCCTGAGGGTGAAGTAGATGTCCAGTTGCATAAGAAATCCCTTCAACTTCCTCCTGTCTCCATGGTATAAATCTGGTGTTTGCACTTTAGGAAGTGCACCTGGGGTACCCGACATAGCCAGAGGAACTGTGGGAAGCTCTGTATGATGTGTCTGAGTTGAGGATTGTGTTGCTGAAGTGTTGGCTTGAAAGGTGTTTTCCAAATTCTCAAGTTTGTTTGCTATATTTTGTATAAAGGCAAACAGTTGTTGCATCTGCTGTTCAGCAGTAGTTGTAGGAGCTTGGTCGTCCTCCATTGTAGTATCGAAGTGCTGCTATAGAAATAGTTGAAGCTTGAAGCAGACAAGGTGTAATGGTGGGTGCACCAGATGTGAGAATCTAGCCACCCAAGGAAGGGATGAATTTACTAAGACAACACACTGTCTTAGAAAACAGAGCCAAAGGGTCGTAGCTTAGACTATTCCACAACGCAGCAATCAGGTGTGTGATGTAGTGAAGTGGTTCAGACAAGTTGCAACAAATGTTGAGTCTGGGAACTCAGGGGTAAGTCAGAGGTTAACACCTCACTGACTTTTCAGAAACAAGGAGTAACAAGATCAATGCTTGGAAGCTTGGAAAAGACGTGGAAGTATGTGATAGTCGATTTACTGTATTGTCTGCTTGCCCTTTCTTAAGGAAAGGGCAATCCTATTTATGCTAAAGGAGTGTAGTTCTCTCATTTTCCAAGACTTTCCATGACTAACCAGGCTTGGTAACTGTAGTCGATGTAAGAGAATCCCATAGAACCATCTCTTAGGTTTGTAGCCTATAGGAAGTAAAAGGAGGTCCAAGGTCAGAGTACCCCTATAGACAAATTATGTCATAGACAAATTATGTCACAGACAAATTATGTCATAACTTAACCAATCTTGTGGGTAACTAAAGAGCGATGACGTGTAATGAATCATAGAGGTTCGTAGGAGCTTTTAGAGCTATCGTTCATGCTCCTAGGCCTCTAGTTGGTAGAGATATGTCATGTGGTAGTATGAGTGATGTCATGTAATGAATCATAGAGGGTTGTAGAGATATGCTATGTGGTAATATCGGCCCAGTAACTAAGGAGCGATGACATGTAATGAATCATAGATGGTTGTAGCAATCGTTGAGTAGTATTGCTCTTGTTGTTGGTGTGATAAGCCAAAATATGTATAGTGACTTGTAGGTTTGAGGAGGAGATTTCCAAGTTTGCTCTTGAGTTTGATAGCAAACTGAGTGCAACGAATGTCAGTATGACACCACGCCGAAGGGAACCCTACGGTGGAGCTGCCAGCTCGGCAATTAGGGCCCACGGGTTCCTGGATAAAAGGGGCTGGAGCCTCAGCTGAGGACTCCAGTCAATAGTCGCTGTATATACGTAGACCTATTGTTATGCATTGAATCCTACTTCCTACCTACTGATCTGGTTCCCTGAGCTCCCGTGTGACCCTGGGTCCTACGCCTTTACAATTCTATTGAATCAACCCATACTCAGCCTACCAGATCAGGATGGCGAGCCAGGAAAAGAGGATTACCTGAGCGACCTCCGGAGGAGCGACTCCAGCGGCAGAAACCATCGAGGCCAGCCCACCGACTCTGGGCCCTGATGTTACGACGGAACAAGAAGGCTGGCCAACTACAGGACAGGAAGGAGGGAGGTCGCATGAGACCGGCCCTGGTACCTGGAGGGGCAGCGGGGAATAGTAGTTCCGAAAGTATCACGTGACGGACTCGCAGGATGATGAGAAGAGTCCTAAGAGTCCAGGACTCCAAGGACTCAAGTGAGTTCCCAGGAGTCCACTAGGCACGTGATGGACTCGCAGGATGATGAGAAGAGTCCTAAGAGTCCAGGACTCCGAGGACTCAAGTGAGTTCCCAAGAGTCCACTAGGCACGACGCCACTATATAAGTAGATAGTATTTCCTTAGATAGGAGCTTCATGCTCAACTCAATACAGTATTTGTTATATACTAGTAACGTGTTACTTGAAGCCTTTGTGTCTGATCCCCTGCCTCCTCTGATAAGTAAACCTTTACGCAAGAGAACCTCTGTGTCTTCTATCGTTTAGAAGTCAGCGTTACACCTGAAGCCAGCAGCTCCGCGACGAGCAAAGCGGACAGGATGCCGTCAAAGCTGGCCGCCCTCAAGAATAGGATCGAAGAAGAGAGGGCCTACTACAATACCATGGAAGAAGCCCTCCAAGTATTCCGACGATCGCACGGCGATGACTATAGCGCCTACCCGGAGGAAGTAAGGGTCTTCGCAGAAAGACAGGCCCGAATACAAGAAGAAGGACGCCAGAAAAGGTGACACCAAGACAGTGAGGAAGAATGGGAGGGGACCCCAAACGAGGAGGAACAAGAGACTGCCTCCGTAGTATTGCAAGAAGCAACTCCATCGTATAGGCCTTTCGGCAAGGTCAAGGACCCTAAGGTCTACAAAGGCAAGTCGACACGAGAGCTCAACGAGTTTATGGCCTCAATCCGCGCTTCCTTCTGATACCAGCCAAGAATGTTCCCAACCGAGCAATCCAAGGTGGCCTTCGCCGCCCAATACCTTGAGGGCGACCCCATGAAGGAGTGGGACAACCGCTGCGCCTCGCAAGAGGAAGGGCTTGAGGACCCTTTAGATATCACAGGGTTTGAAGAGTTCCTTCGCGACCTCCATATCGACCCAGCCAACCGGCAACGCATTGCAGCCCTCAAATACAATGGCGCCCACCAGCGTAAGGGGCAGGGTATCCGCAAATTCGTTGCGTACCTCGAGGAATTGGAGCGGGAAATGGAGCCCTACACCGAGTCCCAGAGGACCACCCACCTCCTGACGAAGTTACACCCAGAAATGAGGCAGCGCCTCCTTGAGGGTGGCTACGCCGAGTGTTCCACGACCCACAGGGAGGCTGTTGTCAATATCCTAGCCATGCTGGAAATGAACAACCGGTGGGTAACCGAGAAGAATCCTTCTACGGATAGGCCCAACACAAGGGAGAATAAGGGAACCCTGCAGGGTGGCTTTCCAGCTCGGAAGGGCCACTTCAATAGCCACAAGTCGGGCAATCACCGGGAGCGAACGCCCTTCCAGGATCGCCGTCGATCGGACCAACAACCTGCGCGCAAGCCAGCCGACACCCAAGGCGCAAGGCCTACCCAAGTAGGGAACGCCTGTTACAACTGTGGCAGACCAGGCCACTTTGCAAAGGACTGCCATAGCCAGCACACTGGGCCGGGAGTCCGGAAGCTGGATACCCAGATCCTCAAGTGGGAGTGACTCCCTACTGAAGCCCTACGCCCTACGCAGGCGAAGAGGATGGAGATCGACATTGAAATCAAAGTAGGGCCTACCTGGCACAAGGCCAAGGCTCTACTCGATTCGGGGTCGGACGCGTCAACTATCCACCCCCTCTTCGCAAAAGATAAGGGCCTAGAGTGCCGAGACAAGGGCCCACCTCGAGCGAGGGCTGTGGACGGCAAGGAGATTGCCATATACGGAGCGGCGACCATACAGATCAAGGCCCGGGACCACTTTCGAAGGGAGACGACCGTAGACCAGATGTTCCTTTCCATGGATACCCCTGGTGTGGATGTTATCCTTGGAATGGACTAGATCGTACAGGTCAACCCCCAGATCGATTGGCAGACCCAGATATGGCGCTACCCCTTCGATATATCGAAGGCGATGGAGGTGGGTATTGAAGAGCTAGACAAAGGCGATACTGCCTTTGTCCTGGTGTTGACCTCGGAAGGAGCGTTGGAACCCCAATGCCCAAGGGAGTACGCTGAATTCGCCGACGTCTTCTCTAAGGAGCGGGCAGAAGACCTACCCGAGCTGGGTAGGAAGACCCACGGTATCGATACCAGCACGCAAGAGCCGCCTTACAGCCCGGTATACAACCTATCTGAGACGGAGTTGGCCACACTCCGGGAATACCTTCAATCAAGCGAAAGGAAGGGTTGGATCCAGAGGAGCGTAAGCCCAGCGGGCGCACCCATACTGTTCGTACAGAAAAAGGACGGCAGTCTACGCCTCTGCGTGGATTATAGGGGTCTGAATAAGATCACCGTAAAGAATAGGCACCCCTTGCCACTGATCACAGAAACCTTGGCTCGGCTCCAAGGAGCAAAGGTCTTCACAAAGCTGGATATTAGGAACACCTACCACAGGATCCGGATCTGCCCAGGTGACGAGTGGAAGACTGCCTTCCGCACTCGTTACGGCCACTTTGAGTACAAAGTGATGCCTTTTGGCTTGGCCAACGCGCCAGCCACGTTTCAGGCCTATATGAACGAGACCCTCGAAGGGCTCATTGATACGATATGCGTTGTATACCTCGACGATATCCTTATTTATTTCTCTAAAGAGGAGGAACATACCCACCACGTACAGGAGGTCCTAGGTCGCCTACGAGAGGCGAACCTATATGTGAAGCTCTCAAAGTGCGAGTTCAATACCAAACAGGTAGGCTTCCTTGGATATACCGTCACAACAGAAGGAGTGGCTATGGAAGGTGATTGGGTTGCTGCGATAGCTGAGTGGCCTACACCCAAGACCTACCGAGAGGTCCAGGTGTTCCTCGGCTTCGCCAACTTTTACCGGCGCTTCATAGAGCAGTACTCCTCTGTTGTGGCACCCTTGACTGGCCTTATGAAGGGGGCCAAGGCCGGTAAACAGACCGGGCCCTTTGTGTGGGGAGCAATGCAGCAGGGCGCGTTCGATCACCTCAAGGAGGCCTTCACCACAGCTCCCACGTTAGTCCATTTTAATCCAAGCCATAAGATTAGGCTTGAGACAGACTCCTCCGGCTTCGGGTTGGCAGGGAACCTTTCCCAATACGTAGAAGAAACCCCAGAACGAAGGGGCGGGTGGCACCCAGTCGCCTTCTTCAGCAAAAAGCTGGAGCCAGCAGAGCTGAACTATGAGGTCCACGACCAAGAGCTCTTGGCGATCGTGAGATCTTTCGAACAGTGGAGGCATTACCTAGAGGGTAGCCAACACCCAATCGAGGTCCTGACGGATCACAACAACCTGAAATACTTCATGGAAACCACCGCCCTCACAAGAAGGCAGGCGCGGTGGGCGCAGGCGTTGTCGGCCTACGACTTCCAAATATCCTATCGAGCTGGCAAGACCAACCCCGCAGACAGGCCGTCTAGGAGACCAGACTATGAGGAAGAGAATGGTAGCCAGAACGTGATGCTTCCTACCCTTCGAAACAAGCTCCAGAAAGCCATACAGGCAGGAGAAGAAGCCCCGCAGATGAGGCGGGTAGTGGCTGACTTACAAGAAGTAGGCACCACACTGGGCGAAGACCAGAGTAAGGACACCAAGAGTCCAGGTCTCATTGTCCCTCGAGTTATGGTGGCAGCCATGGCTCAGGGAGAGAGCACCTACAGTGCCACGGCCGAACCCTTAGCGGATCTGATCAAAACCCTTCAAGCGGCTGACGAGCTCGCTCTTCACAGGGCCAGAGAAGCAGGGTCGGCGCGGGCGAAGGGCTCTTCAGGTTGGAGAGTAGACGATGCAGGCATCCTACGCTTCAAGGAGCAGCCTACGTGCCTCCCAATCAGGCAGTACGTATGGAAATCTTCAAGATTTGCCACGACGACCCTTTGGCTGGGCACTTCGGATATAAGAAGACCCAGGAACTGATCCGACGGAAATACTACTGGCCTGGATTAGACCAGGAAGCCAGGGAGTACGTACGTGGCTGCGATCGGTGCCAGCAGATCAAGCCGGTACGGCATAGACCCTACGGCGAAATGCAAGGCCTTAGAATGCCTACTAAGCCCTTTGAGTCCATAAGTATGGACTTCATCACAGATCTGCCGCCTAGTATAGGAGCAGACCAAGCTAAGGCTTCAGACTCCATTTTAGTAATCGTAGACCGATACACCAAGGTATCCAAATATATACCCTGCCGGAAGACCATTACTGCCACCAAGTTGGGGCGGGTCTGTAATGGTGGGTGCACCAGATGTGAGAATCTAGCCACCCAAGGAAGGGATGATTTTACTAAGACAACACACTGTCTTAGGAAACAGAGCCAAAGGGTCGTAGCTTAGACTATTCCACAACGCAGCAATCAGGTGTGTGATGTAGTGAAGTGGTTCAGACAAGTTGCAACAAATGTTGAGTCTGGGAACTCAGGGGTAAGTCGGAGGTTAACACCTCACTGACTTTTCAGAAACAAGGAGTAACAAGATCAATGCTTGGAAGCTTGGAAAAGACGTGGAAGTATGTGATAGTCGATTTACTGTATTGCCTGCTTGCCCTTTCTTAAGGAAAGGGCAATCCTATTTATGCCAAAGGAGTGTAGTTCTCTCATTTTCCATGACTTTCCATGACTAACCAGGCTTGGTAAATGTATTAGAAATCAAGTGCGACCCACAACTAGCTTGCTAATCATGTAGTGAACGTAAGAGAATCCCATAGAACCATCTCTTGGGTTCCTAGCCTATAGGAAGTGAAAAGGAGGTCCAAGGTCAGAGTACCTATAGATAAATTATGTCATAACTTAACCAATCTTGTGGGTAACTAAGGAGCGATGACGTGTAATGAATCATAGAGGGTTGTAGAAGCTTCTAGAGCTATCGTTCATGTTCCTAGGCCTCTAGTTGGTAGAGATATGCCATGTGGTAGTATTGGCCCACCCCCTTAAGGAGGAGATTTTCTTAATAACTTGTTCAATGAGTGTTCAAATGATATGCCGTGATGTATGTAGCATAAACAGATGTAGTAGAAGAGTTTGCAGCAATCGTTGAGTAGTATTGCTTCTGTTGTTGGTGTGATAAGCCAAGATATGTATGGTGACTTGTAGGTTTGAGGAGGAGATTTCTAAGTTTGCTCTTGAGTTTGATAGCAAACTGAGTGCAACGAATGTCAGTATGACACCAGCGCCTAATAAACAAGATATTTCTAGAATAGTTTGCTACATGACTCGTTTCAAAAGCTGTTACGGCGGTTGGGTAGATCAGTGCAGAACTTGAAATAGATTGAGCGCTTAGGATTTTAATCATTGGCCCACCTATGCCGGCTAAGCAGATTACAGTCTCAGTCCACTCCGCCAAAAGGTACCCTTGTTTTCTACTAGAGGTCGGTGCTCTTGGGCCACTCGAGACTCGAGTTGGTGTTATGCAAACCCCTGCATTGAAGGCGGTGCTAAAAGTCTGGGTGAAGTGGCTTGACTAAGAGCTTCCACACAACCATGTTATGTACGATGTATTTATAGGGCTCCAATGGAAAAGCAGGAATGTTGTGTTGTGTTGTTGAAGCGCGCGCATACAACTAGCGCGAGGGAAGCGACCCTCGTTAGCGGCCGTTGCGCGGATTCGGTTCAATCCCCGCGCTGTTTCGACCATCGTGTTTGTAATCTCCTTACATCCCTCAACCAACCACTACCGTATGATTGTGACATTGAAAACTCCCTCCGCTCCAGCTGCTCGCCAGTTTATGAGTAGTACCAAAATAGGATGGGTGTCCCAAACTATTCATTGTTCGCTGCCTCACCATTCTTTACTTCGATCGAACCTCCATAAACAGTCCGCCATTCACGCAAGATTCCATACCACGAAGCAGACAATGACACTATTAAAAGCAAATCGTAAGTGCTACTGCTCACAACGCGCAACGTTACCTTGCCAATTCAGTGCCCTAATATGTGTCTAGATCTTGATCCTCATACCTACACAAGCGGTCGTTGGTTGCGTCACAACGATCTGGAGATTGACTCGCGCTACATTACTTTTGATTTCGACGCGCTCTGCAGGAGGGTTATTGAGCTCTGTCCAGGAGCTACTTCTATAGCGACATATGACAAGAAAGAAGGGGGTTTCAACAGAGTCTTCATATTCTCCACAAATAATGCAGAAACGGTCGTGGCAAGACTACCTTTCGCACTGGCAGGACCACCTTGTTTGGCCACCAATTCCGAAGTCGCAACAATCAAGTATCGTGAGTTTTAATCAGCAGTGGCACTAGAAGTAAAATACTAACCACATCTATGTTTTAGTACAAACCAACACCAGCATCCCTATACCTAAAATCCTTGACTGGAGCGATGATCCCTCAAACGCCATTGGCAGTGAATACATCATCATGGAACACGCTGTCGGTACTCAATTACATCATAAATGGCCGACTATGGCTATAGACCAACAAATAAGCTGTATAGACGCTATCTATCGGAAGCTGAAAGAAGTGGTGGACATCAAATTTTGGGCTTATGGGAGCGTGTATTTTGCCGATATTTCGCTCGATTCTGCAACCAAGCGACCTTTAAACGGGAACTTCTCCATTGGGCCTCACTGTGGCTCTAGGTATTGGGACTGCAATGTTGGCGAATCTATGTACTACCACAAAACAAAACCCAACCGGGGACCGTGTAAGTTTGTCGTGAAGCTTTCCCACCTTTGTTGAACTTCAAAGTACTCACAAGCCTCTTTAGGGGATGACCTTACTGCATACTGTAATGGTCTCATTGATGCTGGTGTTTCTAGAGTCCCGCCAGTCGATTCCCCTCTTGATCAACTACCGCGCTATCACGGATCTGTTGAGACGCACCTTCGCCTTCTAGAATTCGGTCGCGCCGTCATAAATAATATGTCCAACGACCAGCGAGTTCGAGACACGGCTACGCCAACGCTGTTTCACCCTGATCTACACAAAAGAAACATATTCGTTTCTGATGATGACCCCACCGTGATTACAGGCATCATTGATTGGCAGTCCGCCAGTATTGAACCAGCATTCTGGTATGCAGATGAAGTGCCCGACTTTGCAACAACTTTACCTCACCCATCGCTCGAGAATCAACTTGAGCCCAACAGTGAGCGATGTGCGAAGGCATTTGAAGTTTGCACTCAGTTCTACCTTCCAAAGCTGGCTAGCCCAAGAGCTATGGATGACGCCCTTTTCCGGCCGTTCCGCTATTGCTACAGGACGTGGAAGGACGGTGCGGTGGCGTTTCGCCATGAGCTAATCAAAACATCTGAACGCTGGAAGGAGCTTGGTCTTATGGGTCCCTGTCCATATCCCGCACCTACCCCGGAAGAGTTAGCCGTCCACCAGAAGGAATATAAATACTTTGAGGCGGCACATGACTTGAGAAATAACCTCGCAGGCTTACTCAATACTGCATCCGACGGCTGGGCTCCGCCAGAAGACTGGGAAGCGACGAAGTTGGCCAACAGAGAGCTGTTTGAGACGATGTTGCAAACTGTCCTAGGTATCAAAAACCCTGATGATGATGAGCCCATAAAAGATGAAGGAGACGTAAGGGAAATTTGGCCCTTTGACTTATAACAGCGCCATTAACGTTAGTTCTTTTCACCCGCAGACTTGCCGTCTGATTTAGTACAGTTTAGATCATGTTCAATAGACTGCTCTCCTGAGGAAGGTGGCCACTATCGTGTCCCTCTATCCCTTTCGCGACTAGAGTATACCCGTGTAAAGAGAGTCGAAGTTTAAAGAGCGATCATCGAGCTCCTTTGACATAGAGCGGTTTGCTGTAAGCGACAGGAACAGCATGAGGGAGCGAAGCGGCGTTGCCCCAGATTTCTGGAATCAAGCTTAGTCTATTGATTCATGGTACGTCAATAGAATACTAGCGTGTTCAGCACAGCGTCTGTCACAGCCCGGGGCAAAGCCGTTCCTGGGCTGCCACATGTGTTTTGTCACGCCTCGCGTGCCGACCCAACTGTGCTAGCACACAAGGTGTTCTAGAGCGGGAGCAGTGCTACTACCTGTGTGCTGCCCCTAATAAACCCCTAGCACATTCGGGTCAACCCCCGTCGTGTGCCAGACATGGTGAACGATACCGCCTCTACCACAAAGACGTTAGCCGAGTACTCTCAGGTAGTCCTGGCGAACCTGCCACATTCACAGACTCATCCTTGCAATTCTCTGAGGTTCCATGTACTGTAGTCGTTCGACTACACATCAACGTCAACCTCCTCTCCCATTAAATAAGGATTCGATCATTTGTCTTAAGGTACTCCATCTAATTAAATTTGTCTCCAAGTCAAAGCAATAAGCCTCTACCCAAATCCCCCACCTTCCATTACGCAGAAGCGATGGACACGAAACATCACCGACCCCGGAAAGTCCCACACGCGTTGTAAGAGACGGACATTACTACCTGCGGGAAGCGGAAGAGTTTGGTGCTGAAGAAGAGAAGCGATCCCGCCAAACCCAGGAGGAAAGGATGGCAGAGGACGGGCGAAAACTACAACGCCGGCTCGAGCAAGATGCCGCAATCACAATTCTCCTACAGCCGTCCCCACCAATACATATGAGACGAGCACATTGCCGGGCAAACGGATGTTTCATCACAAATGTGTCGCCAAGAGGAGATAGCCTAGTCATGGGTGATTACCGAATTGCCCCTGTGAGCCATAACCTCGAGTATTTCCACATATCGTGCCTAGAGAAGATGATCGATCTTCTATCGCTAACGCCGTCTCGGTTTAAGCTCGACACAGATGGTTATCGGTGGAATGGCGGCTGGCCTTGGACATGGGACCTGATGTTGCGGGAATAGTTCCAGCATAGCGGGTGCGTCGACCTCGTCAGGACTGCAGAATACATTGACGCGTACGACACGTTCAAGGCAAAGCTCAAAGCTTTCAGTACACCTCTACCGAATGGCAGCTAACTCACTTAAACCACCGTACTGCCGATGGAGGATATTGCGGCTGTCCGCCCGAGCCGGAAGGGCCAGGATCATCGCCAACACTGAAGGACTACAGAATGGGAGACACCAAGGAATTCTCGATCAGTGAGGTCCTTCAACATCCATATGTGGGAAGACTATCCACGAATATCGATATCCAAGGTCCCCTCTCTCCTAGCTTCTTGGTGGTCCCAGAGCAGGAATCAAAGGACGCTGAGCCTGATAACGACGATGGCTCGCACTCCGGCTGAGGTCCGTAAGCTAGGATAGCATCTCTCCCCCTCGCGAAGACGACGAGCAAAGCAGTATGTTGAACAGCGACCGCAAGTGACGAGCAATGAGCCCACCTCCTGGCAGCTCATACTTGTGACCTAGTCAGCCAGGGATCGTTTAACAATTCCCTTGCCGGCATTCGCTTCTCCGGTTCCCACTGCAACATCGACTTAATAAAGTTGAGGAATAGATCTTTATCCTTCCCGTTGAGATTCTCCTCCGCAGCCTCGAGACTACTAGACGGCAAAAGTGGTAAGCGTTCTGGCTCATTCTCGTCTGGTTCAAGCCATTTGCCATTCCCGTCGAACCACTCCGCAGATCTCTCGCCCCGCTTGATGAGCTCCAGTGGTGGTGGTCCGAGAACGGAAATCAGTTCTGTAAGATGAGCACGAGTTGTGTAGCGGCCTCGTTTCGGATCTTGCCCCCTAAAGAGATGTTTGCCTTCAAAGATATCCCATATCTACTATCAAGTCAGTAAAAGAGTCTCACGAACCTATATTTGCGCGTGGAAAAGGGTCACTCACCATGACACCGACATTCCAGATATCAGCGCTATAACTCCACGAGAGATGAAGCATCACTTCTGGACACCTGTAAACATCGGGGTAGGCGTCATCGTCGTTGATTTTTGTCCCATATACGCATTTCCAAAGTCGCAAAGTACTGGCTCCCCAATAGACTCGGGCATATCTAGAGTCCGGGAAATATATATTTCTCGATGCACCGCTTTCTTTCGCGGTGAGGGCTGAGCAATCTCGGCCTCCTCAAAAGCAGCAAGAATAGAGGTATCTTCGATAAGATGAGAAGAATGTGCTTATAAATGGCAATCTCATCCGTATCCTGGCCATCATTTGTAAATATTTTGACGGCAACGTGACGATGGGCTCTTTTTTGAAATTAGCCTCATCTCATGTTAGGGGATAGCATCGCTGACTGTAAATCCCGTGCAAGCCAAACCGTTGACGAATTTCCAAACCCCAGCTTTCCGACGATTTGATACCGCGAGGAAAGAACATCCCCAATACGCGCTGGGTAATATCGCTCAATTCCGAAATTTTCCTCTTCAACCTTTTCTGATGGGTTGATAAATGGGATTTTCACATTCGAGTATTGCCGTGGTGGAGAGGGTGCCCGTCTGACGGCACTTTTGGCCCACTTCAGGAGTCCAGCCATGGTTGAGATATGCTTGGTGATCTAACGGGAGATTTCAATGTGGCTTTGATGGTTTACAGGAAGTATTCAAGGAGCTGGACGGTGGGAATGAATCGGAGAAAGGAACGAGGCTGGGTACACGTGCAACATTTGGTCCGAGCGTGCAGTGGATACGTCATCCCCTCGGCTGTTGACGCGCGCGCCTAAAGACTTATGAATAGTTTTGCACAGACCAGTTAGAAAGAAGGAGTTATTTGACCCACGCTTTCTAAAGGTATGATGAAGTGGCGCCCCTACAGTGGTTCATCTCCCAACCGCTAGTACTATGTAATAGATGAACGTGCGACGTGGTTGGTTGGCACACTGAACGCTCATGCAAAATAGCGCGGCCACGCGTCTATTGTGAGCCCCCTATAGGCCACCCTCAGCGGTTATGGTCACACCTCTTTGATGAAACCCAACACATTGACAGATTATTGAAAAGTTGTTGTTCCCGTACTTCGTGGCCCAATCATCCTATCCGGGGGAGACCTACAATCTCGACACCTGCATCTGTCTCAATATCCACAGGCTAGGGTTCACGAAGCAGTACTTGGACCAACGAATCAATGCTTGTTAAATCTTCAGAGACGTGTCGAATCTTGTCAAGAGCGAGTTGCGTCTCCATGCCGGCCACACAGTCCGAAACCAACTGTGATTCTTTAAATAACAACTCGTACCAGGCGGCTTTGTTGGCTAGCCAGGTTGAAGTACCAGGGCGAAGTGTATATAAGAACGCAAAACCGCCTTGTGATTTCTCCTCCAGCTTAGTTATATCTCCTGCAACATCAACATATAGGCGCCGTTATTACTTGTATTAAGACTTGCCAGCTTCGTTTCTGCCGTTCTGCGTTCGGACCTTACGCTCTACTTCTCTCTATCAACATTCTGATTAACCACATCATCATCGTCATCGTCATGCGTCCATTCAGCACTTCAGCAAGAGCTCTTTTCAAAAAGCTCGGCTTTCCGGTCGAAAGCATCCCTGGACCCCACAGATCTGCCTATGACAAGTTTTTTGCGCCTGGTGGAGGCGCTGAACAGGTATGAGTTTCTATCCCTATATCATCAAATGGCCTTCTGACACGGCCTTCTAGGAACATTAAATCTGCACTAGTGCGGTCTCGTGGTGGAAACCCAGTCCATCAGTCTTCATATAATAAGGCGGACAAAGCTTGGATTATCAGTGTTTTTGTTGAAGGGGAGAAAGACAAGGCGGCCTGTCACATTTACTCACTTTCTAGTCGTTGAACGGTTTTACTTTTAACACCTTTTTAAGGTAATTATGCTAAAGTAAAGTTCGCTTCAAGTATACCAAGTCCTCAGACAAAGTTATTCTTGAAATTAACCCAATAAATTGCCATGAGGACGGAACGGGGACTAGAAAGAAGGGTGACCGTCGAGAATAAGTAGCTGCATTCTGTGTTAGATTACTGTAGCATATATCTCCCAATACGCAAATAACTATCACATACGACCACAGACTCAAGAGAACTGGGCATCCCGTCCGCTCTGCCATACACAAACTTGAAATTAAGTGGCTTAAAACTCTCAATTGTGCCAATAGGCATAGTGTGGAATCTGACTTCTTCGAAAGCCTTCGCTCTTCTCCGCAAAGCACCGAGGTACTAAGAACGGCCCATCAATGACAACGGCAACAGCAAGCATAGCCATCCGCTACCAATAAATCTGGTCTCCAAAGCCACTCTTCAACTCCTCAAAACCGTCGTTTGGAATGTTGAAAGGGCTCGGCAAGGTTCGCACGCAGGTATTTAAATAGTTATTGACTACGTCTGGCGTGGCATGCAGGCATAAACCAAAGCTCGTGATTGTATTATGTACATAGTGTATCTGCTCCCCTGCTCCTTTCCACTTTCGTAGAATTAATGTTAGTCGAACCTTACTTCCGCACTCTCGACTCTCGCTGTCTTCAAGTGCTCAATCTTCAACAATTCCAATCCTTTCAAACAACTTGAGGTAGATTATGTTTTACTTTTGAGAACCCTCTATTCGGTTCGTCCCAGGTCTCTCGTCTAGCTAGGTTGGAGATTGGGCATCAAGGAACGTTCCAGTACATCTACCCAACCAAAACAACAATCATTTTCCAAGCCTAAAAGGAAGCTACGCACCGATCATTAATGTTCATTAGGAGTAGCCTACAAGGTTAGGACACATACGAAAGAGAAAATAATGCCCAGAATGGGTCTCCAAAAAGCTTCTCAGGCGATTCTATGAGCCACTGGTCCTATTGCATGTTCTCGATCCTAATGGTGAACAGAGAATTCCTCGTGCCTGGGAAGATGCAGACACTGTCCACATGCAACTGCGCGAGTTAAGGCGGAATTTCTTGAACCAGCTTGCCTACGTGTGTGATGGCCTCTAACAGCGAAGTCTCTACGCTTACGACTTCATTCCTTAGAGGAATCCTAAAGACCCTCCAAGGTCTTGATCTAACTCAGTCCGAGGATCCAATGATATTCACAGAAGCCGAGATTTCTCAGAGGTGTATCGAATATAGCATTCGAAGAGTCAAGACATACCACAACTTTATGCAAAAGTACCTGCGGCAGTGTTTAGCAACTTTGAGAGGTTCCGAAGATCCAGAAGGCGAGTAGCAACAATAGTAGCAGAATGTTTCTAATCTTGCGCACAGAAGAAATACTCATCAGCTGGCTTGAAAGTTTCCAAGGCTTTGAGAATAACCTGCCCGGCTTGTGCCATTTTGCATACCAGGAGAGATCATGCCAATGTATGAGAGCACTGCAGAGGCATATTGGAGATAATCATACATATATAGTTGAGGGAGAGTCTAGGAGACAGGCCTTTGTCTTGACCCGCCATTACATTGGGCGGCTCGGTTCCCATGTGAGGGCAGCGAAGGTGTTGGTCGCGGCCGGTTTGAGAATGCCAGACCTATTTAATAGCTTTGCTATCCAAACACGACCTGCACCTAAGCCACCCTCACTACCACCTCCAACTGGCCACTTGACTACTTTAGAGGGGATATTAAATCGGATGCTTCCGCCAGGTTCAGAAAAAGCCCCGCTATATCAAGAAGCTCTTGCCACGCTGAACGCCAAATTTAACATCCAAACCCGCCTCCAGGACAAGTATCAAGACAAACACTTCAGACCGAGAGTTCACGCTGAGCTAAATCTGCTAGAATACTTTCACGCAAAGCGACTACCGTTTGTCGACGATGACCGCTTCATCGGTTGCAGCAAGCCTGCGTGCTACTGCTGCTATCACTACATCAGCAACCACCCAGGAGGCTTTGTACGCCCTACTTCCCATAGCATTAGATATATGAATTGGCGGCCACCAGATCTAATCAATAATACGGACTCAAAAGAGAAAATTCAACAACGAGATGTTTTGAATAAGGTCATTGCTCAGATCAGACTTGACACTTTGCGACATATCGAACGACAGAGAGGTCCAAGTATGTGGCGGCCAGATTCAACAACTGGGATTACCTGCTCAGAGACCTACAACGGACCAGTAAACAAAACAGACACTAGCCAGTCTGATAATATGGATACCCTAAACCATCCTAAACCTGGCCTTGCAACAACACATACCTCTGCTAGATCAAGTCCTCGGATTTCCGCTTCAGATAAGGGCGGAGATGAGTTGGCAGACCATAATAGTTGCTCACAGGAGGAGCAAGATTCGGAGTCAGAGGGTGGTGTGTTGTTGACTTAATCAGAGACCACCGCCTATATGTGGATTGATGCGCGAAGTTCAATGCCAGGGAAGACCCAGCTTATGAAGGACCTACGCGAAAGTGCGTTGAAATTAGTACAGCGTAGGCCAAAGAAGCGGTGGTCGCTATCAGGTAGCTGAGGGATGCAACCGGATCATTATGAGGGCATGAAAATCGATTACTTGCTGAATGAAAACATAAGGCAAATGTTACGGAGAGTCCCGGAACGAACAATGTCACAAGGACCAGTTATTCAAGATACTTCTTTTTCGTCTCTAAGTCTAATTCCGTGCACCATCTCCACATGATTCTTGAAAAGGATAACGTTGTTAAGAAGTAGCCCCTCGGCCTTGCAAACTGGATGGCAGCATTCATACTTTCCTGGTGTCCTCTTTTCTAAATGCCTCTCAACATGGTCGATCATCTTATCGGGTTTCGAAAACTTGCGCATGCGCCTGTCATAGCTCTGCCGATCGTCACCAATACAAAATATACACTGAGTTTTCTCGCACTCCAGAGGGAAAGTATTAGGAACAGGCGATTCCTCCTTTACCTTCGGGGACTCTTCAAGAGAAGTTACCGAAGACGATTTGCTCAGCCGCGACTTATGACACTGGACTTCCTGGCGACGAGATAGTGCGACCATTGTGTCAATGGCGTGAATCCGTCGCATGACAATGTCGCGTGGATTGAGGCCCTTAGAGAGGTCGCACATGATATCTTGAAGCTGGGTCCATTCCGGCAGCTGGTGCTTGACGACAGGCTCAACATAAGTCGGTGTCACGACTTTGACCTTCTTAATGATCTTCTCAAGTTCTTCGTTGTGGATACGGTAGAAGTAGCCCCGGCGGTATTCCCTCTTGAGTTCTTGCTCAAGCGTCTTTGTTACTGTAGCAATCTGTCTATTTAATTGACGATATTCTTCACCAGCTTCTGTTCCAATCGAACCCTGAACGAATGCGTGTCCATACAAACGCTTAAGTTCCAAGCGAAGCTCTTGCTGCTCAAGCTTAAGCTGCACCAGCTCTGGGTCGGGCGGGAGGGCATCGCGAACATTATCAGGCACTGTCTGAGGCGCGCGGGGATCACAAGTGAGACTCATGTGCGTGAAGGCCCGGAGAAAGCCAGAATCGGTAGGCTGGTCTAGCACTGCATCTTGAACGATGAACCTGACTTTCTCATTGATGTATGATCCGCAGAATACGCCAGTCTGGGGATTGTGCCTTAGTATCTGGTCGCGAACTGCTGTCGTGGCAGCCCCTACGGACTTGTTAGTTAAAGCAAACTATGATCAAGGACAATATTTACCATCAACAGCGTTTCCTGTGCCTCTACGAAAACAGTAGCTTGTTATCTTCTGCTCAAAACCAGTCGCCCAGCCGAGACGATCAAGGTAATAAGCGTAAGTCGAGTAGCGTAATGCCTTCCACTCCGACGTACGGAACATATCGCACGTGCGTACGGCCTGACGAAATATGGGTCTTTTAAGCATCTCCGGCTTCCAGTGAATCAAGACAGCTTTCGTAGGATGCTGCAGATGACTTGTAAAAAATGGCTCTGCGTGCGAAAAGCCTTCGACCTCGATCGCATTGTCCTTTATTGCGATAGACAAGACATGGCTGACAGGGCAAAGGATGGGAAGGGCTTCTTCATGAAAGAGGAAAGTCGTGCTAAAGTTGTGAAGTTAGTTGGGATGAGGCAGAGAGGTTGTGGAGGGACATACGGCTTCGGTTTCCTATCCGCACCCTTGTGATGGGCGAAAGTAATTTCCATTCCCAGAAGGTCTCGTTCTCCCTGTGTGGGGTTCCGAACAATCCAGAGACGGATATCCTCGTAGCATATAGTCTTATATTCCCGTTCCACAGCGTCGAGATCAACGTAATCATCGTCATATTCAGTATCGTTTTTATTAGCCCAAGGCTCTTGTTGTTGATAATTCGGCTCATCTGATCCTTCTTCCTCATCAACACACTCATCTTCATCCAAGTCATTAACGGCATCCCAGACTTCTCTATGTCGACGTTTGCGAGAGGTAGTCTTTCCGCCTACACGCTTTGAGGCGTCAGCCAGCTCAGCAAGTCGACAACCTGTATAGATAGACAGGAGCATCGCGGTCGCAAGCGTTAACCGTTGGTCCTCAGTCGGAAATATAGAAGTATCCCGAGCCCAGAGGTGAGTGAGGAGGAGAAGGATATCGTCTGCTCCCAACACTGGTTTGGCCTTCATTGTCCGTCTGAGTTTGAATTCGTCTGCCAAGGTCGCATCTAGATACTACAAGAACAGTGTCAGTGCCAAGTCTTCCATAAGTAACGTAGAATACAAGAGCATACCTTGAACACTTCTTTCGCATCGTTTGTATCCATGTGACGCCCATTAACCCGATTATAGAGTTGTTTAAACTGAAGCAGGTACTGGTGGACCGAATTGAACGCCTTAACTCTATAATTCTCGCAGATGAAGCAGAGGAACGACATAGTCTTTCCCCTATCGCATTGCTCGATAGCTCCTCGCCAGTCCTGGACAGCCTGAAATTTGCAGAATCTGATCTAGAGTCAATAAGGGTGGAAGTCTGAAGGGGACAATGTTGATTTACTTCGTCCACTTGCGCCATATTCCTCGGACGTTCTCCTTTGTGGCTTCAGCATCCTTGGGTTTCTGAGATTTTGTGTTGAGCTCTTGACCCATAACCCGGTAGTCTTCGGCGGTGCGCTTAGGCTTCTTTGGCTGTTGAGCGTGTCTGGTTCGACTAGTGACGAAATGTATCATGTTCTGCTTTGGAGTGGGCAGTTGCCGGTTGGCCATTCGTCTGGTGGACATGATGTGCGATTCATCGATCGCCTTGGGATAACGAAATGAACGCAGAGGTCCGCAGACAGAGCCGTGGGGAGCCTGCCTTCAAAAGACGAGGATAAACTGACTTGTTTGAGAGCGTGAGATGGCAAGCTTTTCGGAAGCGGTGCTCGACGTCGGCCGTGGGATTGCAAAGTACTTAAACAAGTGGCCAGTTTGAGCGACCGGGTGGTCCGCCGTGTGGTGGCCCTCATCATTATGAGGACCAGTGGTACCTTGGGACGAGCAGAAAAGAGAGAAACGGAAAGCAGAAAGTAGACCACAGGAACCAGGAACGGGGACCTTGAAGGGTACGTAACCGATGTGGGCCATAATCACGTGCCTAACGTTCGAGATTTAGCGAGGGGTAGAGGGTGCGTAAAGCAGCAACCGCGCCCTGCCAAATCCAGCAGCTCCGACCCCGGGAAGTGGCTTTATTCTATAAATAATATAAATAATAGTTCTAAATAATAGTTCTAAAGAATATAAAGAATATAAAGAATATAAATGCAAGGAGTGGCAGGAGTGGCAGGAGCGTTCCTTCTTCCATTGCACATGTCACGAGTGAAATCTGCCCATGCGCCTTCCTTCTTCCCCGCGCCGCCGCCGGCAAACCGAAATCTAGACAGGGTACAGTGTACGACCAGCTTCCTCCTATACTTTTGAACATAAAAACAAATCGCCGCCGCTCCTACAACTCAATCTTTACGGGCCAAGCGCTTCACCAGCTACAAGTGCTAGACCCGAACATTACAAATAAGGTGTCTGTAACCGCACATTCAGCTTTCCTCCTAGATACCATCTACCTACAAACCTAGCAACAACACTCGCCCTCACCCGCCACCCCCTCAAGGCACCAGTACGAATTGATGATTGACTCCCTCACCAACCGCCACCAAGACCAGCTGTCCTCAACCGACCAGCTATGGCGGGCATGGAGCAGCTCGAGATACACAGCAAGGTTTGTCCCGCGCGCTCCCGCCGCCACACACCCAGCTAACGCGCCGCAGTCGTACATCGTCCGCTGGGTAAAGGTCGAGGAGGGCCACACAATATCATGGAGCGTCCAGCCTCACAGGAAGTCCATGTAAGCCCCCCCGCCCCATCCGGTGTGCGCCCTGGTGCTAACCCGCAGCTAGAAACTTCGGCATCGTCAAGCACCCCGGCGCCGGCGCGACGAGCGCAGCCTCGACACTTCGACCCCCGAATGAGCGCCTCGAATCCGAATCCGCGCAGGCACAGGGCGAGTCGGCCGAGCGGCTGCGCCGGTCGAGCACGGTGAAGAATGATCTCTCGACTGCGGAGGAGCAGCTTAAGGCCAAGGGCTTTATACCGGTGGAGTGGTACGGGAAGTGCGATGCCGATAAGGTGACGATTGGGACGTATGCGGTCAACGCGGGCAACGGCGGCATGTTTGGACTGGTCTTCGACAATACGTTCTCCAAGGCTGTGTCGAAGACGGCGACGTTCGTGTTGCTGACCTACCCGAGCAACTTCCCGCCCAACCCGACACATCATAACCTGCAGGGCGGGCCGGGGGGGAAGGCCATGAGTACGGTGGCGCTGGCGCAGAAGAGCAGCAATGCGAATCTGTCGGCCGCGGCGAATGAGAGCGTCGATAGTCTGCACAGCCGGCCGCACTCTGCGTCGAGTCGGGAGACATCGGTGGTGGGGAAGGGGATGGAGACGGCGCCGCCGTCGTTCCATGTGGGCATTCTGATGAAGCGGAGGCGGAAGAGGGGGCAGGGGTATGCGCGACGCTACTTCTCGCTGGACTTTATATCGTGCACGCTCTCGTACTACTATAACCGCAACTCGTCGGCACTGCGGGGCGCGATTCCGCTGAGCTTGGCGGCGATTGCGGCGGATGAGAGGCGCAGGGAGATTAGCATCGACTCAGGGGCTGAGATCTGGCACTTGAAGGCTGGGAATGCCAAGGACTTTGCGGAGTGGACGAGGGCGCTTGAGTTGGCGAGCAACAAGGCGAGGGGAAATGTCCCGGGCAAGGTGGTCAGCAAGACGGGGAAGCCGCTTGGGATGCACATGGGGTCTAATAGCGTGTTTAACCGACCTATTCGACCGCCATCGGAGGAGGACCTGGAGTGGGATCAAGTTGAGTCGCTGGTGAGCAGGATCGTCGGGTCGAGGGATGCGGTCCGCAGGCTCGCGAATGATACAAAGTCGTCTTACAAGCAATCATGGGCTGGGCTCAGTCTCGGGGCAGGCAATCCTGCAGTGGTTCCAGAGGAGAATGGGGACTACTTCAACAACCCAGCCGAGAAGAGGCCCTTCTGGAAACGGAAGACAAGCACTCGGAGCACGTTGAAGAAGGGGGCTAAAGTGGCTTCCGCCTCGTCGAATACGAGTTCAAACATCACGCCTCAGTCGACGCCTAGTGCGCCGTCTCCTGCGCCACCGGGCCAGGTTTCAAAGTCGTCACGAAGGTCTCAGGCGACTAGCTCAGAGGAGGAGAGCAGCATCAATGATCACTGCCAGGCGCTGCTAAAGGACCTCGACCTTGTTCTATCGGACCTCAACCAGCTTATTACCCGCAGCAAGCAACGACGTTATCCTCCCGGACCCGCTTTGGCGGTGCCGCGTAGGAGCATGGATTCTACATCTACTGGTGAATTCTACGACGCCGAGGCTGGCGATGGCAATGATTCTCAAATTATTGTGGTGGGTCGAAGCAGCGATGAGGACACGCCAGCATCTGACCATGATGAGTCCATGAGCGGTGACAATGCATCATCAGTTGCTTCTGACCTAGATGAAACTCCCAAGCCCGCGGGTGCGGTGTCCTTCTTCCCGCCAAAGCCGAAAACTCTCGCGCCACTGCCTGTAACGAGCAAGCCTAAGCGACGCACAACCCTCAAGCCTGCTACAATGTTACCGCCATCTCTCATATCTGTCCTGCGCAAGAACGTGGGGAAAGACCTCTCTGGGATATCCATGCCCGTCAGCTCCAACGAACCGCTGTCCGCTCTGCAGCGCGTAGCTGAGGGCCTGGAGTACGCGCAGCTCCTTGATGCTGCAGCCAAGAGCCCGTCGCCGCAGCATCGCCACCTCCTCGTTGCCGCTTTCTCGATCTCCTACTTCTCGTCGAGCCGCGCCCGCGAGCGCGCAATCCGCAAGCCCTTTAACCCTATGCTGGGCGAGACGTTCGAGCTCGTGCGATCCGACTCCGAGACGCCGGGCAACTTCCGCTTCCTGGCTGAGAAGGTGAGCCATCGACCCGTCAAGATGGCGTGCCAGGCCGACAGCCCGCTGTGGTCGTTTGCGCACTCGTCGACGCCGGTGCAGAAGTTCTGGGGGAAGAGCGCGGAGCTTATCACCGAGGGCAAGGTGTACGCCGTCCTCCGCCTCGCTGATGGTGTGGACGAGTGCTACAGCTGGCCGATCGCGACGGTGTTCCTACGCAACGTCGTGATGGGCGAGAAGTACTTCGAGCCCGTCGGCTCCGTGTCCGTGCTCAACGAGTCGAGCGGCGCCGTGGCGGTCGTCGAGTACAAGAGCAAAGGCATGTTCGGCGGGCGCTCCGAGGACGTCGAGGTCGGGCTATGGGACGCGACTGGGGTTAAGACGGCGCTCGGTCTCGAGGGTACGTGGACATCTAGCCTCAATATGACGGAGAAGGGGAAGGTCAAGGGCGAGGTGTGGCACGTCGGGTCGCTGGTCAGCAGCGCGGAGTCGCGCTACGGATTCACCACGTTCGCGGCGACGCTGAATGAGCTCACGGCTGTGGAAGAAGGCAAGACGGCCGTGACGGATAGCAGGTTAAGGCCGGATCAGCGGGCGGCGGAGGAGGGGGATCTGGATACGGCGGAGGAGGTGAAGAAGGGGTTGGAGGAGAGACAGAGGGGGAGGAGGACGGAGATGGAGGGGAGGGGGGAGATGTGGGAGCCGAGGTGGTTTGAGAGGGTTGAGGGGGAGGAGGAGTGCTGGCGCTTGAGGACGGGGGCGAGGGGGTACTGGGAGGAGAGGGCGAAGGGGAGCTGGGAGGGGGTGGAGGATATTTTTGCGTTGGATTAAAAAGGGGGGGGGCTTGAATTTGGAGAATCCCGAATGAATGGAATGGTTAGAGTGGAATGGTTAGAGTTAGTTAGAGTAGTTACAAAGTGCAGTTCGGAGGTTGTCTCCGTGCACACAGAATTGAACGGGTCGGGATTGCCCAGGAAAACAATGGTGATTTCTTGTGTTTGAAGGATGCCGGAGTGGGGATTTTTAGGGAGGCCAGCCCTGTTGTGGGTTTTTTGTCAAATAGAGATGTGCCCTGTTAGTGTCGCTGTTGATAGACTGGTGCAGGGAAGCTAGGAAATAGAAAATTGCAGTCAGCAAGAAAGTTAACCTTATCCCTCCTTTACTACACCATCCAAAACCACACACCGAGGGCCCCAACGGCCAGCCAAGCCGCCTAGCGTGACGGCGACAGCGACAGCGACATGGATGAGCCGAGGGATGAGCCGAGGGATGCGAGGGAGGTGGGGGTGTGGTTGGGCTGTTTGTTTGTTTATCGCATTGCGTCGCATCGTTGACGGATCTTCGCTTTGGTCAGCGCGCAAACTGTTGAGGAGTTACAGTACTGTGTAGTTAATACTTCGAGCTCGTTCTTGCTACCTCCCTGGAGTCGCCATCTCCTACCAACTACATACCTACCTACCTACCACCACCACCCTCACGATGCCAGCGCGCTACGCTGCCGTCGACGCGGCCGACTTGCTCTTTGGGCGAGCGACGACGGTTAGGAATGGATATGCGGCGCGCGAGACCATAGCGTGTCGGATGGGCGAGCAGGATTGCGGTCCGACGGTCAAGCCGTACCATGCGTGTTGCCCGAGGAGTACAGAGTGTGGCTCTCCACAGCTGAATATTTATGTGAGTTTTAATTAGAAAGTGCATACATGTGCTGACAGCTGGATTTTTAGTGTTGCGAGCCCGACAAAGATTGTAAGCCGCAGCTCACCAAACTCCCGCAATGCGCGAACCCGGAGCATGACATGTACGATTTCGACGGCTTCTTCTGCTGCGAGCAAGGGCGGAAGGGATACGGAAACACGAAATCTGACGGCAACGGGTGCGGTGCCCCTGACTACGAACTCCAGGAGTTCGATAAGTGGTTAACAATCGCCGTCTCCGGAAGAGGTACCCTTCCCTTCCCCTCCCCTCTAACTACTCTGACTTTAAACACCAACTAACCCCGCCACCCAGCCATCACAACCAGTAGCTCCAAGACGAGCACCGGCGCCCCAAGCGCAACAAACCCAGGAAACACAAGCAACACCTCCAGCGCCAGCAACTCCTCCGGCCACTCCTCCGGCCACGCCTCCGGCCACGCCTCCTCCACCACCGGCCCCAGCTCCTCCTCCCCCACCGCTCCCTTCGCCGGCGCCCCCTCCTCCACCGACGGCTCCGCAGGGAAATCCTCCAACGCCGGCCCCATCGCCGGCGGCGTCGTAGGCGGCATCGCGGCCCTGGCCCTCATCGCATTCCTAGTCTGGTTCCTGCGCCGTCGCAAGGCGCGATCGTACGCCAGCGCGGCACCCCCGAGTCCATCGGGCGCGTACCATGCGCAGGGGCCCGAGAAAGACGTTCCCCATACGGCGATGGGGAAGGCGGCGGCGGCGCAGAAGGGGGAGGAGGGTGGGAGTGGCGGTGTGAGCGAGTTGCCGGGGGAGGAGAGGGGGGATGTGGCGGCGGCGGCGGAGATGTATTCGCCAGGGATGCCGGGGACGCCGGGGCAGGGGGCGGCGGAGTTGTATTCACCTAGTGTGGCGACGACGGCGGAGTTGCATGGGGTGGAGAGGGGGCCGGGGGAGTTGCTGGCGTGGGATGGGAGGGGGGTGCCGGCGCAGTTGAGGGCGGGGGATAGGGGGGGCCCGGTGGAGTTGCCGTGAGGGGGGTGTTTGTCTTGGGGAGTATATTTTTTTGTGTTGAAAATTTGGGGGAGGGGACGAGGGGGGGACTTTTAATTTTTGGTATATAGATTTGTGTAACACATAGTCACTGGAGGTCATTGGAAATGTTGGTGGTAGATAAGTTGTTGATTAGTTGAAGTATATAGGTTACAACTACTGAGAACTATATATGTGGGTGGGTGCCACGCCAGTGGCTCCCGTGGCTCTGAACCCCGATTCCTGCAACACACCCCTCTGGTGATATTGTAGAAAACATATCAACAGTTAGTAGCACCCCTAGTTCTTCATCCGTAACCTATAATCAGTCCATCTTTGGAAGCTGTTTAAGCTTGATCAGCTCAATGAATCTCTGATGATCCATCGTTGATAGTGGCTTCGTCAGTCCATCCCATCTCCTTCGTATACACATAATATAGATCAACAAGGTTTTCCTTCACTTGATTTCGGATGTAGTGGTATTTGATGTCGATGTGCTTCGTTCGCTGATGAAACTCTGGATTCTCTGCAAGTGCAAGAGCTCCTTGGTTGTCGCCGATGATTTCCGTTGTGAGTGCATCCTTCTTCTTATATCCAAGCTCCTTGAATACCTGTCGAAGCCATGCTCCTTCCTGTGCAGCCTTAAACATAGCCACGTATTCAGCTTCAGTAGTCGCAACTGCAACGGTTGGCTGTCTCTTCGAAATGCTCACAATGACGCCTCCACAGAAAAGGTAGACGCATCCTGTGTGAGACTTGCGCTCGCTTCTGTCGCCTGCGAAGTCTGCATCGACGTATCCTCTTAATGCCATAGCCTCATCATCCTTCCAATCGCCTCCATAACAGATGCACAGATGAATAGAGCCTGCAAGATACTGCAGACAGCGACGAGCAGCTGCGATATGCTGTGGCGAGGGGTTTGCGAGAAAACGAGATAGAACGGACGTGCAATAGTTGATATCCGGTCGTGTTCGTGGCTAGATACATTAGAGATCCAACCATAGACCGATACAGCTTGATTTCGTGAGCTGTAGCTTTGTCTTTGTACGGAGTCATGAGAATTTCCCATCCTTGGGCACAAGGCGTCTTCACCGTGTGGCAATTCGTCATTCCAAAACGGCTGAGGATCTTTTGAGTATATGCATCCTGTCCAAGGTAGATCTCTCGCTTCTTTCTATCTCGATGAATGCGGACTCCAAGGAAGTATTGTGCAGGACCGAGTTCTTCAATTGTGAACTTTGTCTGCAACTCATATTTCAACTTACTTAAGTCCTCGTTATCTTTGCCAATAATGACAATGATGATCTTTGTGTCCTTGTTGATGAAGATGCATTGGTCTGTTTCGAGTGGTTCAAATCCAAGAGATTGGAGTGCTTTGCGAAGCTTTTTCTGCCAGAGACGTGGTGACTGCTTGAGACCGTAAAGCGCGCGTGATAGCTTGCACACATCCTCCTTTGAAAGCTTGACACCATTCTCACACTATCCAGGAGGCAATTCGGCTTATACCTCTGCATCGATATCATTTTCAAGGAATGCAGTGTCAACATCCATCTGTTCAATCTCAAGATCGAAACGTGCAGCGAGGGCAACGGCGATTTTCCATGTGGCTGATTTGCAAACTCCTGCAAAGGTCTGCTCATAATCCTTTCCATATCTCTGCTCATAGCCCTTTACAACCCATCGAGCCTTGCGGCGAAGGATTTTGCCATCTCGATCTCTTTTAGTGCGCAAAACAAGGCGTCCACCAAGGACCTTTTTTGTAATGGTGGGTGCACCAGATGTGAGAATCTAGCCACCCAAGGAAGGGATGATTTTACTAAGACAACACACTGTCTTAGGAAAAAGAGCCAAAGAGTCGTAGCTTAGACTATTCCACAATGCAGCAATCAGGTGTATGATGTAGTGGAGTGGTTTAGACAAGTTGTAACAAATGTTGAGTCTGAGAACTCAGGGATAAGTCAGAGGTTAACACCTCACTGACTTTTCAGAAACAAGGAGTAACAAGATCAATGCTTGGAAGCTTGGAAAAGACGTGGAAGTATGTGATAGTCAATTTACTGTATTGTCTGCTTGCCCTTTCTTAAGGAAAGGGCAATCCTATTTATGCTAAAGGAGTGTAGTTCTCTCATTTTCCAAGACTTTCCATGACTTACCAGGCTTGGTAACTGTAGTCGATGTAAGAGAATCCCATAGAACCATCTCCTAGGTTCCTAGCCTATAGGAAGTGAAAGGAGGTCCAAGGTCAGAGTACCCCTATAGACAAATTATGTCATAACTTAACCAATCTTGTGGGTAACTAAGTAGCGATGACGTGTAATGAATCATAGAGGGTTGTAGAAGCTTTTGGAGCTATCGTTCATGTTCTTAGGCCTCTAGTTGGTAGAGATATGCCATGTGGTAGTATTGGCCCACCCCCTTAAGGAGGAGATTTTCTTAATAACTTGTTCAATGAGTGTTCAAATGATATGCCGTGATGTATGTAGCATAAACAGATGTAGTAGAAGAGTTTGCAGCAATCGTTGAGTAGTATTGCTTCTGTTGTTGGTGTGATAAGCCAAGATATGTATGGTGACTTGTAGGTTTGAGGAGGAGATTTCTAAGTTTGCTCTTGAGTTTGATAGCAAACTGAGTGCAACGAATGTCAGTATGACACGGGAGGGGGGAGGGGGGAGTCGATTGTTTCGATTCGGGATTCTGGAAATGGGCTAATAATATATATGAGGTTAAATGATAATATTCGTACATACTTCGACAAGCTCCCAAATACTTGGAGATGAATGACTGCTTTATTTGGATATTTGTATAATTACGCTGCACGAGTGCCCTTAATAGGAGCCGTGTGCTCGTTCATACCTTTTTATAATAGTCAGTGTAGATAGGGATGGCATAAATGGCATTTGGTCCGATCTAGATATAGGGACCCCTCTATATAAAGATGCAATGCATGCTCTAGCTCCATTAGCCATTTGTAGTAAGATACGGCTTTCTTATAGGCTATAGGGATGTCTTAGAAAGGTTGGCAATGTCTGGCTAGGGGATCTGGGGTCGAAGGGCACCTTTATGTCCTGGTTTGACTGTAGTTAAAACCGCTAGGTACTCAAGGACTGGATACTCAAGGACTGGATACTCAAGGACTAGATACTCAAGGACTCACATAGAGTCCTGACCCGGGCCTTGAAATACCGTCATCCCAACGGCGCACTCTTGTATTAGGCATGCGGCCTTTTATTTATTTACAAGCAACAAGCAACAAGCAACAAGCAACAAGCAACAAGCAAGAAGGAAGAAGGAAGAAGGAAGAAGGAAGAAGGAAGAAGAGAAGAACGATAGCGACGGCCTATTAATTATACAATCACGTGTATTATAGGTGTATTACAGGTGTACCGCACGTGTCTCATGGAGTTTTTTCAGAGGGTTGTCGTTGAAAGTGGCCAATGAGATGCTGTAGTAGGAGCACGCCTGTTGGTATTCAGGCACATTTTGGTTAGTGGTTGGTTAGTGGTTGGTTAGTGGTGGGTGGTTAGGGGTGGGTGGTTAGGGGTGGTTAGTGGTGGTTAGTGGTTGGTTAGTGGTTGGTTAGTGGTGGTTAGGGGTGGTTAGTGGTGGTTAGTGGTTGGTTAGTGGTTGGTTAGTGGTGGTTAGGGGTGGTTAGTGGTGGTTAGTGGGCCCTGTCAAGTCAACACGGGAAGGCGGCATGGCATCACCGAGACAGACTGCATCAATCAACCAACATAATGCGGAGCATGGGAGGATGTGCCTCGCGTTCTAGTTACTAGTGATCTAGACAACTTCCATGAGTAAACTAGTGAAAAGGGCCATTATCACATCTCCCGTCTTATTACACATTTTTCTCATACTAGATGAGATGCAGCTCCCTCTTATGGCCGTCAAGAAAAGGCCGCCCATGCTCATACACATCCATGGAGAGCAACGTGCTTCTCCCCCCCCCCATGATTCCCCAGCGCCCTGAACAGCTCCGTCGCCTCGCGCCGCCTTGGTGTTCTTGGCCATTCTTGGCTAGCACCACTAGCCGGCGCGGGATGCATTTTTTACCGCAACAACGACCGCGGTTTGCAGGAAACGGAGCACATCAGCCCTGCACCGAAACACTAGTTTCTGAGCTGATATCTCATGGGAATGGGGTCTCGGAAACGTGCGTGGGACAAGGGTGCGCGTGGGACAAGGGTGCGCGTGCGGGAGGACTTGTAGCGCTGGTTGGCGATCACTATATAAGAGCGTGCCTGTTCCTCTGTCGTTCGGTCGTGCTGCTTCGTTTCTGTAGTCGTGCACGCCGATCTCCATTGCCCTTGTCTCACTCATACATCATGGTTGCTTTCTCCACGATCGCCGCTGCGGCGACGTTTGCTACGTTGGCTTCGGCCCAGACTTTCCAGAGGCTCGGTGCTTGCCCGGACTTGGGATGTGTTTTCCCTCCCGATCAGTGAGTATGATGGCGGTGGCTGATGGCATTGGATGGGAAGCTGACGCGTGGTAGGGCTGATTTCCTGGCGGGACAGTACTTCGATATCCGTGTCGAGGTCCATGCGCCTGTCAATGGCTCTGAGGGTTAGTTCTCAAGCTTTCAATTGAAGACCCAAGCTGACGCGAATATGATACAGCCAACGGTGGTATCCCGGATAAGAGGTTCTCGCTCGCCATCCAGAAGAAGGGCGGAGCCTCGCAGCCAGTGTCGAAGTTCTTCGATATCACTGAGCCAGCCATCGAGGAGTGGAAGTTCAAGTGGTACGAGGACTACTTCGCCGAGGACGCGAAGACGCCTTCCCACGTCAATGTCGCGGCCAAGGCATACCGCCGCGTTGCGCTCTACGAGCCAGGCGAGTATACCGCCACTCTGTCTTACTACAGTGGCTCCAAGACCGTTGCCAACTGGGTTGTCCGCGACCTCGCTGAGGAGAAGAAGGCTAAGAACGTTATTCTCTTCATCGGTGACGGCATGACCACGAGCATGATCACGGCTGCACGGCTGATCGGACACAAGAGCATCAACGGCAAGTACTTGAGCAAGATGGCCATGGACAAGTTCCCTATCCTCGGCCACCAGATGACCCACTCCATCGACAGCTACATCACCGATTCCGCCAACTCTGCCTCCGCCCTCTACTCCGGCCACAAGAGCACCGTCAACTCCATGGGTGTCTACAGTGACTCGTCCCCAGATGCATTTGACGACCCCAAGGTCGAGACCATCGTTGAGCTTCTTACCCGTATTTGGGGCTCAGCTATTGGTATTGTCTCCACTGCCTTCCTCGCTGATGCCACACCCATTGCCTTGACTGGCCACACCCGCACCCGTGGTCACTACGGACCTCTCGTAGACCAGATGCTCAACGGTGTCACCAACTACACATGGACTCCCTTTGACGGCCCCGATGTCGTCTTCGGTGCTGGAGCTGAGAACTTCAACGCCGGCGCGGGCTCCTACCAGGGCAAGGACTACGTCGAGGAGTTCCGCAAGAAGGGCTACAAGGTCGCCCTTGACAACACCACCCTCGCCACCCTCCCCAGCAAAGAGCGCGCCCTCGGCCTCTTCAGCACAAGCAATCTCCCCGTCTGGCTCGACCGCAACGTCTACACCGAGAACATCATCAACTCGACGAACCACCCCAGCGGCAACAAGAAGCCCGCCACCGACCTCCCCGGCCTCAAGGACATGGTCCTCAAGGCCGTCGACATCCTGCACGAGCGCGGTGGTGACCGCGGTTTCTTCATGATGGCCGAGGCTGCCAGCATCGACAAGCAAATGCACTCCCTCGACTACGACCGCGCTCTCGGCGACCTCCTCGAGCTCGACGACACCGTCGCCGCCACCATCGCCCGCCTCACCGAACTGAACATCCTCAACAACACACTCGTCCTCGTGACCGCTGACCACGGCCACGGCTTCGACGTCTACGGCTCCGCCGACACAAAGTACATGGCCTCCATCGATGACAACGACGTGCGCGGCAAGCGCGCCGCCATCGGCACGTACCAGAACTCCGGACAATCCCAATACCAGGTCGTCGACGCCGCCATCTCCTACAACACCGGCGTCAGCTTCCCCGTCAACTGGGAGCCCCGCTACTGCCTCGCTCAGGGCACTGTCGCCTTCCCCGACCGCCGTGAGAACTACGAGGTCCCCCACGAACCCCGCGTCCCTGCCACCAAGGGCGCCGATAAGAGCTACTACGTCAACCCAGCCGATGGCGTCGGCGGCCTCGTCGTGAACGGTACCCTCCGCACCGATGATGCGCAGGGCGTGCACTCGCTCACTGATGTCCCCGTGTATGCGATGGGCCCGTGCCAGGAGAAGTTCCAGGGCACGTATAACAACATTGACATCTTCTTTGAGATGGCGAACTGCTTGGGTCTAGCGAGACACGATAACAAGACGGGTGATAAGGGGGCTCTGCTGCCAAAAGCTAACTCGACTATTACTACGGGTGCGGCGTCGGGCATGGAGGTGTTGAATGGAGGCGGGATTACCGCGGTGTTGGGGGTTATGGTTGCTGCGTTTGTGGGCGCTGCTGTGTTGGTTTAATGTGAGGGGATGTTTGTTGGAGTTGGGGTGGGAGATGAAGTTATGAGATGTGTATGTATCATAGCTGGAATGAACAGAACAGATATATTGAATTTGGAGAGCGATGTGAGATGTGATTGCTACTTGTAACAAAGCTTTATTTCTCATTTCTCATTTCTCATTTCTCATTTCTCATTTCTCATTTCTCATTTCTCATTTCTCATTTCTCATTTCTCATTTCTCATTTCTCATTTCTCATTTCTCATTTCTCATTTCTCATTTCTCATTTCTCATTTCTCATCTCATTACTTGTGGCAAACGGTGGCTATGATCGGTTCTATGCTCTACCACTCCTTTGAACTGCCTCCCAACAGTCTACTCCACCTGCCAACCAAAACCGAAGGGTAGGAACGTAAGCACGAGGCCGGTTCGTGGATCATACCTATTTAGAATTCCCATTCCACGATGAAGAGGTTGGCCAATGTGGCCTTCAAGTATTTCGTAGATGACGACATGGGAGATGGACGCTCCTTTGCTGCAATGACCCTTTCACTTTATTTGATTTGATTTTACCCTCTCTGCCTCGTGGGGTGCAGGTTCTAGGAATGGTTTAGGACCATTACTGCCGTTAGACTATTGCTGTTGGCGCGGCCGAGGATCTTGATGTTAGCACTTGCAAATTTGGCCTTTTCCGGGTTCAACTAAATATATTGCCATGCCAAGCGTGAGAAATACTGATGAAGCAGGAATTCGATTACGTTGAGCGAAGGGAAAGTTTGGTGACGATGTTACTTAAATGCTAGTCCATCTTGCGCTCGTGCGCATTAATGATAACCGCCGCACAACATATATGCACGAGTGCTGTAGCCACCACTCTGTTAATGCTTCTCCTCCTGCTTCCCCTCCTCCTCCTCACTATGTATAATGTTGAGAAGCCTTTATGATCCATTTGAGGCAGCGCAGGCGGGCAAGGGGCACACACACATGAGAGAAGCCTCGACGAGGGCAAAGGGGGCCACAATAACCCAAGACTGTTCAGCCTAAGAACCCCATCACCGAATCTCCAAGACAAGCCCATCACAGAATCCCCAAGGCACTAAATCGCCAAGGCAAGCCACAAAGGCAAGCCATCCCATCCCGAAATTCTATCCTTCCTTCGGCTTGGCGTCGAAATTTCGTCGGGGCATCACAAGCACGACTTGCACTGCCCCGGTCGGCGTTCCCCATCCTTGCCACTGTCACCTGTCACAACTTCAGTAGTTCCACACACATGTATGACTGACTGACGACGCCGCCGAACCAGCGCACACCCTCTCTACGTCCTAGCTCCCGCTGTCTGACACCCGCCCCGCCCGCCACAATGAGGTCAGCACCTGCCCTGGCGTCTGCCGTCCTCCTCGCCCTCCTCACCCTCGCCAGCGCCGCCAGCGTCCGCACCTGTTGAGGATACAATGGTAAGCCCTGGGCAAACAATGTACAGTGTCCTGGCTCCCAGGCATGCTGTGGGCTTCAGGGCATCGTCTCCCCAACAAAGCTGTGCAATAGCAAGAAGGATGGAACCGGGGAGATAATGCGCGGGCCTTGTGCAGCCCAACCGTATGATACGGTGGAGTATAAGCCGTATGTGAGGGGAGCGTAGTGGGAGGTGTGTAAATAGTGGAGATGATGCTATGTGAGTTGGATAATCGATGTGTATATAGTGTAGAGGAGATGTTATATAAGCCTGGCCTCTGTGGCTTGTGACTAGGCTGCGCACTGGGTACTCATGAGTCGAGTAGTAGAATTTCTACTCACCCAGCTGAGTTACTCACTCATATCCCGAGTATTGTTGAATGAGGATTACTCACTTGCCGGGTACCTAGTATAGGTCTTGGCAACCCAGTTATATCACGTGTTTGATTAGTCATTGAAAAGGGGGTGTGATCGTGACTTCACATTGATATCGATATCGTAAAACGCCATAACTCAATAACTCCATTCCCATGTCGTTGATATCCTATTCCACACTATAACCTTTGCCTTTAGGTACCAGGTTACCAGAAGGTTGCCAGAACTTATCTAACCTTCATTCCTGGGTGAGAGACATTTCCATCGATTAAGCCTACAGCTCCATGATTAAACATCATATCCCGCAAACGCCGAACCAATACCATATCCTTTGCCTGAATTGTCACTCTCTTCGCATGAATAGCAAGGAGATTTGTCACTATAACTGTTAGTATGTCCCTGTCACTATGTTCAAGTATCATACTCTCAAATTCTCGAATGAGGAAGCATTCGGCAGCTTCCTGGAGAGCTAGGATAGCAGATTGCTGGAAGCGAAGATTGGACTTGAAGTCTTGTGCGATTTCCCTAACAAGACGCTGGAATGAGAGCTTTGGAATAATCAGGCGAGTATCAAGTTGCTGTCTTCTGATATCGCGGAGAGCCTTGGTGCCTATATGTTTATTAGAGAGTTCTGGTAATCCTCTGGTAATCCTCTTACCAGACTTTGCACGGCGCATGGCCTTCTGAGCATGATTGTTGCAAGCTTGAGATGAGCGAACTGGAGCTTTTCTTGCTGTGCGCACAGCCTTTTCCTTTCCCTTTCCCTTTCCACCAAGCCTAGAGCCAGCCTGTAATCCAAGTGGCATCCTTGGTGCTGTGCCGCCAGTTGATCTCCTAGCAGTTTGCTTAATACGAGCCATTTGCTAACATTAAGATGAGTTAGTGAAGTATACACAAGACAAAGAAGTAGATCAAAAGATATATGTACTTACAGTGAGTTTGTAGCAAGGATGTTGTAGAAAGAGTAAAGAAAGAGGTAGAGGTTGAAAGGTATGTGTTTTATTTGAAGGTACGCGTTGTAGTGTTGTTTAGAACAGTAATTATTTGCAGGTGAATATTCCTTGACGAATATAATTGTTTGCAACTTTAAAAAAACAACAACCTTACAACCAACCACCTTCCTTGGTTACGTTCCGATCTACACATTCTTCTTCTCTTTTGCGCTTTACCTCTTCACTAGGACCTCAAGTAAGTTTATTATCTTGATTCTACAGTCAGAACTTCTGATGATCTTCTGCTAATCACGTGTTTAGCATGGCGAAACGCAAGGCACCTGAAGAACTCTCCACTAATTTGAATACTATCAAAGCTCGCAACCGCGTCTCCAACCTTACTGAAGATGAGAAGGCTGTTCATTTAGCACTCAAGGCTGACCATGGCGATCTGAGCTACTACTTAAAGAAGTTATACAAGTCTGCAAAGTATATCGCTGCCTCTGCTGAAGACAAGACACGTCTACAGAATGAATTGAAGGTTGAGCGTATTCGTGTTCGGTAAGTTCCTTCTGGTAATCTCTGGTAGCCTTAATCTAACTATAAACAGGACTGAAAAGGGCACCCATGCATCTTGCATTGCGAATCAGAAAGTCAAGAATACTAGCGCCCCTTCTTCTTCTCCACAAGCCCCACCATCTACTCCGCCACAACTTCTGTCTGAGCTTGCTGCATTTGAGGGTATCACCAGTATCCCAATCGATGACGATCATAACAGCGAATGGGAGGATACTGAGGTTGAAGACGATTTAGAGTTGGAGCTTATGTTACGGCGCGACGATATTTTAAATGACGAGGCTGTTCTACCAGATGAGCTTTCTGATGAAGAGATCGCTAGCATCCAGGCTCTCTTAACTCAAGCACGCATTGATGTTGGTACCTCATAGTCTGGTAATCTTCTGGTAATCTTCTGGTAATACTAACGGTTGATAGGCCCATGAAGAGTCCAATTTCCGCAAGTGGCAACATTTCTGGGATAGCTGTATCCGCTCATATACGAGAAAGGCTGGAAAGCTGAGAAAGAAGCCTGAGCATCTCTTTGAATATATGCCATGGATTGATGTAGAAGAAGGGTACGTCTCTGATCATTCTAGCAATCTTCTAGAGATACTAATTGTTTATTATAGCACTTTTCACAACGTTATCCCACCACATAAATATTTCTGTTTGTACGAGCAGGCAGTTTGGACAAACTTTACAGCTTGGAAGTTTGGAAAGTGGGCCCAATTACCAGGACCTGCGCAGTGGTACCCAAAGTCTTACAATCTTGTCGACAACGGATGGTTACAAGTCTCCACTCATAGTTCTAGCTTCAAAGAGGCGTTCTTACTTGTCTACTCTAAGAAATTTGATAAGGAAAAGTGGGCTAAGGTATCAGCTGCACAGGATATGTTGTTTCTGGAGTTAGAGTAGAGGAGAGAAATGGAGTATTTGATTTTCCGACGCGAATAGGGGCTATAGAGATTTAAGTATTTCATCGTAGCCAGACTTCTGGTAATCTTCTGATAATCAAACAATTTGCTACTTGCCAAATGTCATCGCAATATTCAGAGTTGTTTGACTCTGACAATCCTATTTCTAATATATTCTCAGACTCTCTTCCCTCTTCTCAACGACTACCTTCATTAAATCAAATCCCTGCGGGCCTCGAATATACTGGCAAATTAAACCAATTCATCAAATGGACTAAGGATACACACGATGTATTCATTGAGTGGTGGAAGCTATCACGATGGTATGAACAACACTCAGATCATACTACAAAACTCCTTACGAAGATTGCATGGGATTCAACCAACCGGAGTTCTCAATACTGGAGAATTTATCACCAAGGAGCAGACCGGCTTTCTGGAGAACCATGTGTCATTTGTACCTATTGTTCGAAGGCTCTTACGCATCCTGCAATCAAGTCTGCTGGCCCAAAGTCTATGGCAACACATCTTGCATCAGACATTTGCAAAAAGAAGTCACGGATGGGTAAGGATAGTCTCTATCAAATGCGAATCAATCAGATGCGACCTCAACAGGTAAGGATTACCAGATTATTACCAGAATTATATAGGCTAATATCTATAATAGGATCATATTCTCACACAAGAGGCATTTTACGAACAAGTTCTATACACAGTTATCTCAACTCATAGCTCGTTCCGCTCAGTCGAGGATCCTGAATGGAAAAGGCTTGCTATCTTACAGAATCCTCACTATCCACTACCCTCAGCAACAACTATTCGAAACCTCTTAACAACAAAGCTCACACAAATCGAAGAAGAGATGCTACAAGATGTTGTTCCTGGTTCAAAGATTGCATTATCGCTCGACTGTTGGTCAAGTGTTACTCGACTTTCATTTATGGGTGTTATTGCATCATTTATCGACCGTCATTGGAAAATGCAAGAGGTCTTGATTGGGTTTGAACCTATATATACAGAGCATACTGGTGCTGAGTTATGTGGAATACTTGAAAAAGTTATCACAAGGCAGCATTTAGAAGGACGAATTATATCCATTACGACTGATAATGCGTCAAACAACACTTCAATGATGAGAGATGTGGAAATAATGCTTGATAGTATTGCAGACAACGAGCATTTCATTGGAGGAAAAGTACAACACATACCCTGCCTAGCTCACGTTATTCAACTTGCCCTTAGTGCTCTCCTTGGTCGAATCCGGATTACGCCAACAAATCAAGAGATCTTAATGAACTGGGAAGAAGAGAATCAGATGGAGGGCCTTGCAAAGTTGCAGAAGGACAAGGGTATTGGATTTACACTTGGAAAGGTATATATTCTCTTGTTAGTTCTGGTAAACTTCTGGTAGTCTTTTCTAATATCTCATAGCTCCGGAAGCTCACTATCTTTGTTAATTCAAGTCAAACTCGAAGGAACAGGTTTATGACTTTGCAAAAGGCAAACATGAACCGGGGTCAATCATCTCAGAGGCTTCTTCGACTTATTCAAGATGTATCAACTCGATGGGATTCGACATGCCATATGCTTCTGCGAGCACAGCAACTCAAGTCAACAATCAATCAATATACTCGAGGCGATCATGGTGCTCACATGTTCAGACTTAGCGAGCTAGAATGGAAGCACATCGAATACATCATTGATCTTACAAGGCCATTCAACTTCTTTACAACAAACATTGGATCGTCAGCCGGACCTACTGTCTGCTATACACTTGGAGTATATCAAAAACTCTTATCAACGCTTGAAGGAACTCGGCACCGGCTACGGCATAAGACATATCCATGGGCAGCAAAGATGACTTTAGCAATCGATGCTGCAGAGAAGAAGATTAGGAAGTATTATAACAAGCTATACACAAATACTGGATCTATCTTCGCATTTGCTAGTATCTTAAATCCTAGTGTGAAGCTCTCACACTTTAACAAAAAGGTTTGCAAGCTTGACTTTTCAATACGAAATTGGGAGACAGAGTTTGAACAACAGTTTAGGACTCTTTATAAAGAGCAGTACTCTACAGTGCGAGTTGCGAGTCAATCAGGATTACGAGATGCAGATATGGATCCATTAGCCTTAGTATTGCAGCAAAGTCAGACATTAAATGGGACTCGGGGCCAGCGAGAGGAATATGTGAATGAGGCTGATCTCTATCTTGATGCTCGTAAGTTTCTGGTAATCTTCTGATAATCTTATTCTAACTTGTATAGCACATATCTACACAAAGATATTGCTATTTTGGCAACAAAAGGAAGAGCAATTTCCTGGTCTATCAGCAATGGCTCGTGATATACTTTGTATTCCTGCTGCTGAGTCTGGAGTTGAGCGAGTCTTTAGTGCCGCAAGGGACGTATGTGGCCACCGACGTGGTCAACTTAATCCTGAGACGATTAAGAGTATTATGCTTATATATTACTCTCGACAATACAAGAATCGTCAAGGTCATCGTGACAAGCTTGCAGATATGATGGACGTCGTTGATATGACTGAGGAGCAAGTCGAAGAAGAGTATGAGGCACAACGACAACGGATGTGCAATTCTATCGAGTTACAATATATCAGCGATGAAGAAGAACCACGATCAAATACACATATCCGAGAGACATATTCAAAGGTACAATATCCTCCGTTTAATCCTCAGCGGCCACAGCAACAGCAAGACTTATCACAAGCTGCACATGAAGAACGACAAATGCGCTACCAACAAGGTGAAGAAAGAGATAGGGCTGACCGTCTTAACGAGACCTTATACGACATCCCAGATGACGATATCCCAGATAATGAAGATATAAGAGAAGATGGTAATAATGAGGAGCCTATACTTCCAACTATTCATGACGATGAAGATAAGGATATGCCGTCCTCGCCACCAACGCCTATCCAACGCCCTCGGAAGACTGGAAGAGATCTACTTGATATCTTTCAAGCTACTCGTCAAGACCCTATAAATACTTTAGGTATTAGTAGGTCTGGCCGGCCTCATCAAGCAAGGTGGAAAGATGTTCTTGAGCATATATAATATAGTGTTCTGATAATCTTCTGATAATCGTGGTACTTAGATAGAGGAATATACGTGATTCGTTCTCACAGCTTATTAGAGATGGTAGAGTGATGCTGATAAATGTAATACTTTAAGTTAACTTACAACTGTAACCATAAAACAGTATTAATCGTATGAGGGACTGTTCACGTAATGCATATATCTTACACGTGACAGCCGAGTACTCACTGGGTTTTTACAGAGTAACTGAGTATTGGCCTCACTCACCGAGTCGAGTGAAAGGTTCAGCTACTCACCCAGCTGAGTAACCCACTGAGTGAGTGAGCCGAGTATTGGGCGAGTAGTGCGCAGCCTACTTGTGACCCTCTCGAAGTTGTAAAGTTCATGTCGGTGATTGTTATGGAATTGATAATCATTAATGCGAAATAACAAGCTTTGTAGGAAAATGCATCTATACGCTTAAAACCCCGCGCCCTTGCCCAACCCCTTAGTATGTAAGCGTAACAAAGCGATTCTCGTACTATCCCCCCTTCACCCCCTTCTGCCCCTTCAACACCTCCTCAAAAATCCAATTCCCCACATCCTCTCTCGACACCGTATACCCAACCGCCAAACTCTCAAACCCCTCCGCACTCTCAATCCCAACCTTCACCCCCGCCACCCCCTTCGTAGTACCATCCGTCAACAAGCTAGGCCTGACCCCGATAAACGCACCGACAGCGGGCGATGCCGAGCTCACATCATCGGACAGTGCAACCTCCATGGCCTTCTTATCCGCATGCGGCACCGCCAACAACCAATGATACAACGGCACCATCGCCAGCGGGATGTCGCGCCCGAAATTGCTAATTCCCGTCGCTGAGATAGCAACAACGATCGGCTTCGTGGGCGCCCTCATAGTGCGCACGGCGGAGAGGAGGGCCTCCATGCTGGTGGAGCAGACGAGTGGGTCGTCGATGGATGGAACCATGAAGCGACTGAATTTTGGGGCGCCGCCGACGGCGGAGAGGATCAGGTCGACGGGGCGATTGCGGATGAGGAGGGCAGGGCCGATGGCGGCGGCGTCTCTGGAGTTGCCCGTGTGGACGGTGAGGTGGCGGTCGATGGTGGAGAAGGAGACGCCTTTGGAGTCTAGGAGGGCCATGAGTTTGGAGGGGGTGCGGACCACTGGGGGGTGTTAGTGTGGTGTTCATGGATCTGGGGGAGAGGGGAGACGCACGAGCATTGCAGTCGTAGCCGGCGTTCAAGGCGCGGACGAGGAAGGCGAGTGCGCAACCACCGGTAGAGCCAAGGATCAGGGTTGTGAGCTTAGGCATCGAAGACGAAGTCATGATGTAGTTTGTGGTTTGGGAAAGTGGAAGAAATTGAAATGATTCTGGAGATAGTGATGCGAGAAGTGAGGCTCTGAATGAAGATCGTGATGTGAGATAATGAGAACTGGTTGATGATGATGATGGTGTGGAAAAGACAGCATCTCATGGCTCACCCACCTTTCTTTATACAACTTACCCTCCATACCAACCTGCCGCGCCACGACGCCGAAGCTCATAGTCGGATTTCCTTTTCCACCGACCGCCTGGTGGCTTGAAGCCGTCGGGAATATCTCGCGTCTATTTGCGTCGTCACATCGATTGAGTTTCTCCGCGTCTAGCCAGATGTGGTCGTGGCTTGGGCGGATGCGTTGTCACATCGATTGAGTTTCTCCGCGTCTAGCTAGATGTGGTCATGGCGGCTTGGGCGGATGCGTCGTCGCATCGATTTTGTGGCCCAGATGTCATATGCGTGCCTATACCTATTTGGAAAGTTACGCGGCGGCACGGGGGGGAACTCTAGAAAGCTTGTGACGAGGTCAGGGCTTTAATATTTGCTGATAAATGCTTGTTGTCATATTCTATCTATTTTATTTTTAGACCCGGAAGGAGAGAATTATCGTAAATGCATCGTGGAAACCACATGCAGCCAGCCTTTGTATCCAACTCGTCCACAGCCAACCAAGCCTCTCACTCACGCTCCTCAAACGCCGACAGCAGCTCATACGGATTCTCACCCCGCTCGCCATCCTCACCCCCTGCTTTGCCGGACTCATCTCTGCCCCCAGCAGCCGTATCCCTGTCGCCCGTGGACGTCGCGGCTGAAGCTGCAACTGTCTGGGGCCTCAGCGACGGACCTACCACCCAAGGATGCTGTTTACTAAACGGGTTCTGCGGCTGCGGTTGTGAATCCGGCGCATAAGGCCCAGCAGTCGGATTCAACACCACAGGCGCATAGATGGATGACTCCAATCCCGGCGCACTCCCAGAAACCCCGTTCTTGGTCGCTGGGCGCTGGGCAACGGGGCGAGCGATATTCCCTATTCCAGTCAGCGAGTGCCACATTCCACAGGAGCGCCAAAACTCACCAAACTCGTTGCGTCGTGAAGGCAGCGGCGCAGACAGCTTCGCTGCCGTAGCCACAGCGCTGCTGAACCCATTCTCCCGCGTCGCAGCTACAGGCTTCCGATGTGCCACACCTCCACCGCGCGATTGCTCAGCTCCAGGCCGCCAGCTAGGCAGCGCAGTAGGCGTTGGTAATCCGACACCTAACGCCCCCGTCCCTGACGCCCCCTCACCATTAGCCTTCTCATCCGCCCTCGGCGTCCGCAGCTCCAAGCTATTCTCCTTCTTATACCACATCGGCAGGCCCTGGAAGAGGCCCAGCGTGTGCTGCGTCGCGACATCGAAGGGCATCTCGTGTTTGTACCGGCACCCCTGCTGGGAGAAGGCGCATACGCCCTCGTGGACCCATTTGTCGCAGTAGACTTTGTCTTTGCGGGGTCCGCGGGAGGGGCGAGAGGGGGTGGAGACGGGAGGGAGGGGGCCGTAGAGAGAGGGGGGTTTGCCGCATGAGTTTGGGGGTGTGAGGGGGAATGGGTTTGGAGCGTGGAATGTGAGAGGGCCGAGGGGAGTGGGGTTCAGGGGTGTAGGGAGGATGATGAGACCGACTGCTCCTCGGTTTAGTCCGGGTCCTTGGAGGGGAGGGAGTTCGTCGGCGGCGATAAGGCGTGTGTATCGGCCGTTTCCGCGGCTGAGGGCGTAGCCTGTGGCGGATTGGAGGTGGCGGTCTGTGATGATCATTCTGGGGACGTCGGCGGGGCTTGTTGGCGGGGCACTGGGAGTTTGCCCAGGGTATGGAAGGTGGTCCTTATACACTGATAGCCCGGCGTTGTTGGCGACTGCCGACTTGTTGAGAAACCATGGATCCTGTGATGGCCTCCCATCAAATGGTTGACCGAGCGCAGGTCGGCCTCCACTAATACGTGCGCCGCTATAGAGTCCATTTCCCCTGTCCCAATCGTTAACCGTAAATTCCGGAGGAGTAGAAACTGCCCTTGATAGCAGTGCAGTGTACTAACAAAGAGTTGTTGCCGTTCAAGTTCAAGTTGGCTGTCAAGGGCCATACATCGTCTATATCTGCCGAGTCCGCATACCTCGCGGAACGCTCCAAAGAAGAAAAAAACTGATTCATGGGGAAGAATCAGCGTAGTATACGTGCAAATAAGTGCATATAAAGCCGGCTCTCTGAAATCGCAAAGGATCGTCGGAGAGATTTGAGAAAAGCCGACAGGAAGGAAGGTATGTTCTATACAGCCCGCGTGGCATAAATGAGAGATTGAGAGAAGGAAAATTACGGGATGAGGGGAAGACAGAGACGATATATACAAACCAGGTCTCCCAGCTATTTGGCATGGTTTGGTGAGGCGGCGTTTGTTCGAAACAGCGAATACCCAGCAGCGGGTGGTTGCATTGCGTTTTAGCTGGCAAGCTTACACGCGGAGCTTTTTGGGTTCGTGTCATGGCACATCGCCGGGATTCTCAGGCGATAACACCGTTTCGTACAAGCCAAGAAGATAGATATCGTGAATGACCGGTAACCGGAGCCTCTCCTCCTCTTAATGCAAATCCCAACAGCTCGCGGAAGCTGCGATCGAAGTGCCTCCACACGAAACCGATGTGTCGGTGAGGCGCAAACAGTGTCATATGCAGACGGAGCTTCACTGACGGTCTGTATGATTGAACTTTGTGCTTGGCTTGTCAAGATGCGGCGGGAGGATGCTGGGTGGGGATTTGATTGGATGCGGATAGTAGGTAAGAGAATTAATGAGATTAGGGCTGATGCGTTGAGAGACGTGAATGACTAGACACGTAGGCTGTCGTCCCCAGAAGCGCAAACAATGGTGGTGTTTGATGGGACAACGAATATGGGTTTTATATCCTGGGAGTTGTGGATGGAATGACAAGCATTCATGTCCGGCTGGACAATGTTTGCATGTTTGGGAGTTGGCGTTTGGAGACAGATGAGAACTAAAACCAGGCGAAAGGGGTATCGTTGGCGGCAAATCAGAACTACGGTGACATACAGTATCAAGATTTTCATCGGAAAGTATAAATCCCTGGAGTGCAGATACTGTTTATAGTGTGATGTAGTGGTATTCTTGTTGGTATCAGGTAGTAAACGCCAGAATTAGCATGCCAGCCGGCCATTAACCGCATACAAAGCACTCTTCCACCATCTAAAATACCCCAAACGCCTCAAAATCCATTATGAATACCCACCTAACGCCCCTGGGGAGCAACACGCCATTGAGGTTGCATGGTTCCAGGTCGGGAAGGCGGCAAAATGGGTCGACTCCTTGCAGCCTGCAACTCCAAGTCTTTCTTCTTCCTCTTGACCAAATTCCCAATGACCCCCCGTAAGTAATTCCGCGCCGGCTCGATTATCTCTTGCGGTTCCGTACTCATCTTCAGCGCATCGAGCATGAGCCGAACCTGGGTCTCGGAGGAAAAGTGAGGGCATGCGGGTTCGGAACCGCTTTGTATGAAGCCGTAGTGTGCGAGGCCGCAGAGCCCACAATGTTCTACCCCAGAGCGCTTCGAGGGGCACTGGCCAACAGCGTGCATTGAATCGCAGGCTAGACATATGCAGTTGTGAGTAGCGGTGTTGCCGAATGTCCTCATGAAGGCGGGGTCGTCGGACAAATTCGGTACGTCGCGGACAATTCGGGCGCGCTGAAAGGCGTCGACTGTAAAAACGAGTCAATAAAGCCCAAATTGGTGTATGAAATGGAAAAGACAATCATGGTTTGAAATGCGTAAAATCAAGCATCCTCGCTGGCCAACATATACTCGTTCGACTCTGAATAGGACTGTGGGGTTGTGGATTCGACCGCTTTGCGTTGCGCACGGGAATTGGTTCAACTGGACGTGAGCGCTTTGCGGCAACTGCATTGGACGTAGGAGTAGTCCGCTGCACAACCTTTGGCACCTACTTCGCAAGGGATAGGGACTTCCCAGAAATCGCATCCCCTAGTGGGTTTTCCTGCGGCCCAAGAACCTTTGGGGCGACTGTGACAATGCGGACAGAAGTATTCCTCTTCTTCGGGTCCTGCTTCTGAGAGACTGTCTCGGAAGACGGCGCCTGGGCTTGAGAACCATTACTTGGAGCACGACAGGCAGCAGCCATAACTTTTGGCTTGCGCGGTGCGCCCTGGGCACTGCCCCTCTTCTTGTCCAGTACAATACGATTTCCAGCTGAGCCAGGTCCAGAAGAAGCCATGGTCGGTTTCTTCACGGCTAGAGGTCTCGGAGCCGGATTTTGCTTCACAGCATTCTTTGGAGGCCGAGCTGACCTCACAGCATTCTTCAGAGATTGATCTGGCTTCACAGCATTCTTTAGAGATTGATCTGGCTTCGCAGCATTCTTCGGAGGCCGACTTATCTTCGCGGCACTCTTCGGAGGCTGATCCGGCTTCACAGCTTTCTTCGGAGGCTGAGTCTGCTTGGCAGATTTCTTTGGAGTAGCATTCGCTTGAACACTTGAAGATTTCTTCTCATTCTTGAGGGGAAGGATTTTTGCAGGACTCTCTGAAGCAGGGGATGTTTGTGTCATACCTCTTCCTCCCGATCGAGCTTTCGCAGCCGCAAGCTCGTTGGGATCAACGAATCCATCATCAGACCCTTCTTCTTCTTCAGCTTCACTGCTTTGACGAGTAAACTCTCCATCGCTTTCGCCCAGCACCCGGAGTTTCTTGGATTTACGAAATTCCATCTCCTCGTTAGCTACGTCGGTATACCCGCTGGTTACCTAATAAAGAGTTAGGATCACATTAGACCAAATGGGATAAAACGGCATAACAAACCTGTCGAGCTCGCTTTCCCCGTCCGAACTGCTTCTGCTTGGCCAACTCTTCACGGGCCGCCTCCACCTCACGTTCCCTGAGAATCTTCTCCCAGAAATCGGTGTTTGGTATTGGTTCTTCGGAATCAGGATCTCCAACATCGTCTTGAAGCGCACCGGAATCGTTGGCCCAGATCCGGGCATATGAGAATTGGGATTCTGCGGACTTGTCCTCTCCAGTGTTTGTCGTTTCCATTTGGGTTCGATCAAGCAGCTTGTCGACCGAGGCTGAGTCGTATCGAATATCGTTTTGGTCATCGTCTTCAAATAGAGCCGTAGCGCCATGCTGTAGGATCGTCTGAAGATCAACCCCAGCATCGTCGTCTTCGTCCATGGCCTCAATAAGGGCATGATCAAGGGCCATCTTCTTGCGGCCAATCTGGACGATTTTCTCCTCGACACTATCTTTTGTCATCAATTGGAAGACAAGAACTTTGTTCTTCTGCCCAATTCGATGGGCTCTCGAAAGCGCCTGGAGATCCTGATGGGGATTGAAATCAGGATCCATGATGATGACAGTGTCGGCAGTTGCCAAGTTAATACCGACGCCTCCTGCACGAGTGGATAGCAAGAAGGCAAACAGGGGCGAATCAGGCGCATTGAAAGCATCAATACGCTTCTGTTTCTCAAGCGTACCAACATTGCCATCGAGGCGTTGAAATTGAAGTCCAAGCCCATCAAGAAAGTCTTCAATAATGTCTAGCTGTTTCAGAAACTGGCTGAAAATCAGCACTCGATGTCCTCTCTCCTGGAGCTTCTGGAGCATGATCTCGAGGAGCTGAAGCTTTGAGGAGGCGTCAACAAGGTTTCTGTGCAGCACAGCACGGTTGTTTGATCTTTCTTCGATAGCCTCACTGTAGACAAATGGATGGCAGACGCATTTTCTCAGCTGCATCAAAATATTGTTCAAGCTTCCTCTTTCGCTTGGCTTTAGTTGGGCTTGATCTTTGCCGAAAATAGATCTCAGCAGTTCCGGGCTCTTGGAAAGAATCGACTTGTAAAGCTTCTTCTGGACTGTGCTCATTGTCACGGGAATGATGACTTGGGCCATTGGCGGAAGGAACTTGAGCACCATGGCCTTCGTACGGCGAAGGAAATACGGCCGGATAAGGTCGTGCAGCTCTGGCAAGTTTTCGTTGGTCAACTCTTCGTACTTCTCATCTAGGGTAGTAGCATTGATCTCTGAGTCGAGAAATTGAAGGAGTGTGAAGAGTTCCTTCTTGTTGTTCTGTAAGGGCGTGCCTGAGTCACCATTAGCAAAAGGTCGGCGATTGTGGCCATATATTGCATACCTGTCAGTAGAACCCGAAATGGGACATTCAGTGCAGTCAGTGCCCCATAAAGAAGATTCTTGTCGTTCTTAAGACGTTGGCCTTCGTCAACGATCAAACCAGCCCATTTGGTTTTCCGAAAGAAAGCTCGGCTGTTCTCGTCGACAGGGGCCTCATATGAGGTGACGACAATATGAGCTGCCAGTTCACTGCGGCCTTCCGGGAACAGCTCGTACTTCATGGCAGTCTCTCTAGCTTCCCGAGAACCATAATACGTAACAACTCGTAATGAAGGAGCCCATTGCTTGATTTCGCGGCGCCAGTTGGGGCATGTTGAGTTCGGCACAACAATTAGGAATGGCCAGCACTATATTTGTCAGTATGTGTCCGAGTGAGGGCACTTTGTGCTTTACCTTTGGTTTCTCCTTAATCAATGCAGTGAGTGCCGCAATAACCTGGATGGTTTTGCCAAGACCCATCTCGTCTGCAAGAATCACACTCTTCTCCCGATGAAAATTGTAGAGCAGCCAGTTCATGCCCTCCATCTGATATTCCATCAACTTCCCTCCAGTCAGTGCAGCTGGTTGGCCCTCCAGAAGGACGTTCCTTTCAAAATTGGACTGTCTGTACTGGGTCAAACGTTCCTTAACTTTGGAACCTTGCTGCTTGAAGTATTTTCCGGCAACGAATTCGAGGTAGGCCGCGTGGTAATCGGCATACCGTTCCGTCTCTGTGGGCTGAGGCGGACTCTCCCAAGCTATCTCGTCATAACCCAGCCCGGTGAATTTAGCGAGGACTTCATCGACCTCTTTGATGCGAGCTTTGTCGATCTCCTCGGTGCGAGTCGATACTCGGCTCGAGTACTTTACGTCGAGGACAATCTCGATGCGTAGATACTCTTCTGGGATAGCATCACCTTCGGTCATAATTGGCAGGCCGTTGTTTCGTTCTATGCAGCGGCGAGCAAAGGCATTTCTCATGGAGGCCGCAGTAATGCCCCATACCCATGCTCCAGGTGCCCACCTACAACTGAAGTAGGACATTCCTTGCCACTTGACGAGGTACTCTCTCTCATCTTCAGTGAGTGACTCGAGAGTACGACCAGAGACATACGTCTCCAGGTTGGCAGGCCTCCATGCAATTAGCCCTTGGGGTTTCCCTGGTACGTCAAGACACTCCTTGCAGTTCCAATGTGGTTCGTACTCGGCAAATCGAGCTTCCTGCAAATCCGCCACGTCGTCGGGGCTATAACCTGAGCTATTGAGAGGAGGGAGATGCTCAAAATGGAAGCCACGCTTGCATGAAACGCATCGAAACAGGAGAGTGGCGTGATTGTTGAGCAAGTCTGGGGAAACAGGAGTAATGGGGTCAGTTCCTTCGTTCTCTTCTCTCAATTTTTCCTCCTGCTTGGATGTCTTTTTAGTGGAAAATGGGGCGCAGGCCAGACCAGGCTGCTTGCATTCTTGACAAGCACCAAGATCGGGAGCATTCCTATCCTTCTTCCGCGCCAGGCCAATACAACGTCGGCATTGCAAAACGAAATCTTCCTCGCCGACTTTGGTAACCAAGTGTTCTCTCTGGCTCCTGTACCCAAGGCAAACCTTGTGTATGGAAGTCGTACAACCTTGACATTGTATAAGCGGGCTAGGCCCTTTGTTGGATGTCGTGTTTGCTCCGGAGCATACGTCGCAACGACGATTGTGGATGACTCTGAAGCGACTGTTCGCAGCTAGAGGTTGAAAGACCTCCCGCACACTTATAATCTTTGGGCCTGTCTCTTCGACGTCTGAATCGGCATACAGCTCCTCATCTTCAAGGCGGTCTCTCATATTCTTCGACACCTTCGTGCTCCTGCCAGATTTCCGAGTGGGCTCTGGTGCCTCAGAAGAGTCATCATAATCTTTCTTGCGTCGCCCAAACATCCCTGATTTTTTGGACATTCCGCCTCTGGCTGGCCTGCCTCTCGTGGGACGGCCGCGGCCTAGGCGACCACTTGAGCGTTTCCCCACGATGCCCCTCGCATCGCTATCGACATCACCGGTCATATCATCACTATAGTCGACATTCATCGACTGTCGGGTAAGTCTACCCCGTGTGCGGCGGCCATTTGATGACAGTGTGCCTAAACTGCGAAGACCCAGGGTCCGTGATGCAAGCTCATCTGACGAAGACCCTTCATCAGTTGAAGTCATCCCGATGTAACGTTTATTCCTTGGTGCGTGTGAATCTGTCCTAGATCGCAATGATCGTCGGGGGCTGGCAGCTCGTCGTCTTCTGGCTTCAGATCGATTGATGGATAAGTCGTCCTCGTCGGAGGTGTTATAGCTCCGTAGGTGCCCTCTTGTACTTTTCCTCTTTCTTGTGTATGATAAAATGCTAGCCTGTCTTTTCGATAGTTCTCTAGACCTTTCTGTTCGGCGTGGTATATCTGATTCTTCTTCTACTTCATCCGGGTTGTGGAAGACATCAAGAGCGTTCTGGCCGTTGCATAGTTGAAGTAGACGCTCGAACGGGACCTAAGTTGGTAAAGAGTAAGCCGATGTTGTCAAATGAGATCAAAGCAGCTGTAGTGTCAATCTTTGGAAGAGAAATCCGCTTAAAACAGAGTAGATCAAGTGGTTTGTGCTAATATCTCTGGGACCGAACGATTGGTGGCTGGTGATGTTGAGTGGAAGATGTGAGGGTTGTTGAGGAATGATACGTCAAGCTTGTGACATTCATGGGCGATGTTGTGCAAATATAATACAAAACACCAAAACACTTACAATGTCGTCTCCTCCATCGTCGTACCGAATATGGTAGCTGACGTTCTCCGAGTCCTCTACTTCAGACTCCACACAGTTCACATAGCCGTCATCTGATTCCGCCGAGATATATGTGTATTGTTCGGTGTTTATAGGAGTCGGTAACTCAATTCGGAATGAAAAGTCGCCATCATCCTCTATGGAATCTTCTGCTGCGACATCAGCCCTTTCGTCCTCCCCCGTTTCATGGTTTGCGTCGGCAGGGCTGGACATTCGGGGCCTATGTTGGAGCGCGGTAATGGATGGCGCCTCTGCGCTCTTCCTAGGGAAAAGCTCTTGGAAACTCTGCAGCTCGTCCACAGAGTCATCCCCATCATCAGCGCTGGAGGCCATGATTGTCGAGGTCCCCAAAGTTATCAACGGCGTCGCGCCGAGACGATTGAGGTGCTGCGAGTACTATCCCACTATTGGAGGTCAGCTAGGCCGTGGGAAAAGCTAATGGTATGGGGCATCATACGTGTTTATTCCCAGCAAATCTTTATGAACTGGAAGCGCAAGATACTCCCACATGAGCAGGTCCCTGGTGTTGTTGTTAATTATCTGAGCTGCACCTTTGTGACTCCGATAACGTAGACGCGCTTCTTTATCTTAGCTGATTGAGACGCGATCAATCGCATAGAGATGTCTCCTTCTGTAAATCCGCTTTCAGGACCGGAAAGGTCACTGGTAAGGGTTCAAAGTACCAATGGGATTTTCTACATAAACTATTTTCCTATTTCTTTTATACAAATACAATTAAGTTTCCACTTAGATGCAGTGCAAAGTGAGACTTTGATATTCCGCCGTCATGGCACGGATGACCCTGCACTTCGGCCAATCGCCGCTAAGAAGGTAGGTACATCAGAAATGTTTCTGGGGAAAAAATATCACCCACTGCGCTGTGACAACCAACACCAACGATTAATGAAATGAGCAGCGCTACTCTTTCCAGGGGTTGCCAGCGCATAGCAGCCAAGTCGCTCATTCTACCGCTACTATACCCGTCTCTCCTTAGTTCCCGGTCCGCGTCGTTGAACTCTGCCATCGGCAAGGGTCTTCGCAAGTCGAAAGGAGTAGGCTTTAGGGGAAGAGAGAGAGGCCAGTATGAAGCCTCCGATGGCGGCCGTGAGTCGAGAAATGACGGAGGCGTGAGGAGGACGTCAGAATCTGCTGGGGGAAGCCGTGGGTTTTCTCGTGACGACTGGAAAGGAGACAGCCAACCCGGTGGCGGCAAAGCGGAGAAGCCTCGCACTGGACGGGACGTACGCATACGAGCTGGGAAACGTGAGGTCAAAGATGACAGGATACCCGTGCGACGCTCACGAGCGGCTCGATTCTACGACCCTAATTCGAGCTTTGGGAAGCGAAGCGCTGTTGGCAGGGAAAAGAAGGGGCTCGATGCGCCAGCTGCACCCGAAGCCAAACAAGACTGGCGTGGCTTTTCTAAGAAGGTGGACAGGGACTTCCCGCGGAAACGGGATGATTTCAATGAGGGAAGGATGAGGGACAGGCGGGATACACAGGAGCCCAGGGGAAGCTGGGGCCGAGAGCAATGGAAGCCAAACTCTGCGCAGGAATCATCGCCAGCGCGCTCGGGTTTCCGGTCTAATTCAGACGATCAGAGCTTCCCTTTGAGGAAACCCTTCAGAATCGATCGCGGAGGCTTTGCTCCGGCGACTAGGCCATCACAAGATAAAGACTTCTCCTTCTCGGCGAAGAAGGGGTTCGAAGCCGAACGCCGAAGACCTACTCTAGCAGCCAGGTCACAAGATTCCGACTCCTCCACAGGGGCTGAAGCAGTCCCCCAGAAAACCAAGCCCACCCTATCCATCATGGACAAGCGCATGCCCGTGACCATCCCATACACAACCCCAGCTTCCGAATTTCTCTACGGGACATCTGTCGTCGAAGCCGCACTCAACTCGCGCGCCAATCCCCGTCGCACCCTCTATAAGTTCTACATCTACCGCGGCGCGAACCGCGAGAACGAGGAACAAGACCGAACCCTAGCCAAACTCGCGAGGAAACAAGACGTCCCGGTCGAGTACGTGACCGACGACTGGCTGCGCAGGATGGACAAGATGTCCGCTGGAAGACCACACAACGGCTACATCCTCGAGGCTTCGCCGCTGCCCAAACTCCCAGTCCTGAGCCTTGGCGAGCTTTCAGTCACAGATGAGAAGCAGGGCTTCAAACTCGTGCTGGGCCACCAGTCTCGCGAGGAGGCAAACGTGAATGGGACCTCCGACTTCGTGCACGTTGGCTCTCTAGCAAAATCGGGTGACGGGCGCAAACCCTTCGTCCTTCTTCTCGACTCCATTCTCGACCCAGGCAACCTAGGCGGTATCATCCGTACAGCTGCTTTCCTCGGTGTGGCAGCCATTGCGATCTCGAGCCGCAACTCCGCAGGCTTCTCACCAGTGGTGCTCAAGGCCTCGGCTGGGGCGTGCGAAAACATGAGGCTGTTTACGGTTGATACGCCCGCTGGCTTTGTGGCTGACTCGAAGGCTGCGGGGTGGAAGATCTACGCCGCTGTTGCGCCGTCCACGAATCACTCCGCGAATGCGCCGTTAGCCATGACGACAGATGAGCTGTGCAACCCGCTTCAGGAGGCGCCGTGTATCCTCATGCTAGGTAGCGAGGGTGCGGGCTTGAGGTGGAACTTGAGGAGCAAGGCTGATGTGGAGTTGTCCATTGAGGGGAGTGGACAGAGGGGGCTTGTGGACAGCATGAATGTGAGCGTGGCTACTGGTGTGTTGTGCACCGCCTTTGTGAGCAAGAAGACGCAGACTGTACCTGCACCGCCTGCACGACCAGAAGCTGAGAAGAAGCCAGTGAAGGACCTCTTTTAAAGTGTAAGATTATCCTATACGTAGCCTACTGTATGTAATACCACCACGAATTCAACTTGTATCAATTGGTTAATTGCTGTGCATTGCATGTGCAGTTACAATAAGTTGCTATTTCTACTGGGGAACTCTCATAACTAACCTACATAAACCCCAATAAGTGGCCGTCGACCAATTAATCTCGTCCGCCAAAACGCGGTGGGATGGTGTAATGGTAGCACGTGACGTTGTGGTATAACAGTCTTCTGATATAACATGCAATCCCGTTTCAATCTGGGTTCGATTCCCAGTCCCGCCAGGAGATTTTCTGACAGATGGTTCAATCCCATTATCAGATAATAATCTTTTTGTTTATTTTGCCCCGCTGAGGCAGACGAGGCTGGGTGCTAAAATCCAAGAGGATCTAAGCTTCCGCTGAGCAGGGTTGTTGACATCGACGTCACTCATCTTCGGCATTTGATGGGTTCGTCCAAGAGCCAAGGAACGCAAGGTAAACAAATTATCAACAGCGACTCCGCGTTCGATATAACTTTTTTACGTACAAATGATATATGTTTCACCTGACAAATAGTCCCTCTTGAGACATCTCATACTCGTATCAACCCCGACAATCGCCGCGTGCGCGTGAAATGTCTCTCTCCTGCCTTCCCCTCTTGAGAGTCCCTGCTGCAAGTAAGCTGCATGTAGTATGGCGGGGAAGTCCCCGAAGGCTAATGTACTGTAGCCACAGCGCCGAAGGCACAGCGACGGCATGGGTTGGAACTGCATGACGACACATAGCGGCCCTTCTCCCATGACTCCAGCCCGCATCTGACGATGCCGCGCCCTGCACATCTCATCCAATCCGGCAATGGAAAAGCGGAATCCCTGGGCGCTGCCGCGGTTGGATCTAGTCCCCCATCCAGACCAAGGCTATCATGATGCGGGGAAAGGGTAATAGTTGTCAAAGTTGTCAAAGGACCGACCGTGGCGGAGGCGTCGGCGCGGGGTACTCAGTAGATCCACCGGCGACCATCGCTGCTTACGGCGATCACTATATCGCGATGTGGGCAGACCGCTGCGTCATCTTGGAGGGTTCGGCCGGACAGGGCTCGCACTTGTTGGATTCCAGGGTTCAGTAAACAAACCGCTACCTGATGCGCGGTGGGTCTCCCCCGGCGATTCTCAAGGGGATGCTTTATGCTGTGCAGGGTTCTGTGCTACAAAGAAGTCAAGAAGAGAGACCGACCCAGTAGACGTTGGCGACGACCGCCCCAGACCCAATTGATTATCTAGAGTCAACCCCAGAAAAAAAAAGTAGAAATACATATCCAAGATGTTTCGATTTCTGGTTGCTACTCTCACAGTGTTGGGCTGCCAGCTCTCACCTGCTAGAGCTGTGGAGGTGGAGCAAAAAGATTTCTCAATCACAAATACTAATGTATCAGCTGTGTGGAACCAGACCGATTGGTCTATTACCACCGTCGATTACGTGCCAGCACAGTACCAGTCGCGAATCTCTCTCTCAAACGGGTATGTTACTCAGTGTTGAATCTGTCGCGACGACGAGCATTTTGAGACTGAACTGACCATTGTTTAGATACGCCGGTGCTTCATTGGCGGCAGCAGGCCCGTTCTTCGAGTATGATGTGAACCAGACAAACCCCTACGGCGATGAGCCGGCAAATCTGTGGCCTTTGTTTTCTCGCCGACTGTCTTTCTCTACTATTAGCGGCTTCTACGACGTCCAGCAGAATGGCAGCGGCACAAACTATCCATGGCTGGAGCAGTACGGATATGAGTCGTTCATTGCTGGCATTCCGCACGCAACTGGAATTATTTTCACCTTCGGAGATGCCACGTTGGATAGCACCGCAGATCCAAGTGAGATCTCCAACTTCGAATCCAGTTTGACCTTCAAGACCGGAGTAGCCACATGGACTTATAAATGGAGTCCTGCTGGCGTTTCGACGACGTTCCAAGTCAGCTTCAAGGCCATCTTCAGCAGGGTAGCGCCGAATCTTATTGCGGTTGAGGCGCAAATTACTCCTTCAGGCGATGTCAATGGCAAGGTGACAGACGTGTTGGATGGCAGGAGTGCTGTCCGGTCTTACTTGGCTGAGAAAAAAATGGACGACCATTCTACAACCATCCTCACTGCGGTTCATCCCGATAATCTCCCCAATGTTACAGCATACTTGGTTTCTACTGCCGAGTTTGACGACACATATACAGACAAGTCTTCCAGAGTAGAGGCTTCAGCACCGATCGTCAGCACAAACGAGACAACCATTGGGCAGACCTTCAACATTGCATTGAAGTCAGGACAGACAGCAACCTTCCACAAGTATGTTGGCGTTGCGTCAACCGACAAATTTGAAGACGCCGAGGCTGTGGCGCGAAAGGCATCGAAAGATGGAAGCGCTGCGGGATGGAATGCGGCGGTCTCCGACCATGTCGCTGCATGGGGAGAGCTCATGACAGAGGCTGCCATTGACAACTTCACGGATCCCACAACCGGCCAACTTCCACCTGATGCAAACATTGAAATCCTCCAAATCGCCACTGTTGCAAATAGCTTTTACCTACTCCAGAGTCTGCAGCCCGATGGATCTGGCCTCAACGACAACAGTATTTCAGTGGGCGGACTGGCCTCGGAATCTTATGCTGGTATGATTTTCTGGGATGCCGATTACTGGATGGCTCCTGGACTCAACTTGCACTTCCCCAGCTACAGCAAGCAGATTAGCAATTATCGAGCTAAGCTGTTCGACCAAGCGAAGGCTAATGCAGCATTCAATAACTACTCGAACGAAAGTGCCCTGTATTCGTGGACTTCGGGGCGATTCGGCAACTGCACTGGCACGGGACCTTGTGTCGACTATGAGTACCATCTGAATCATGACATTGCATTCAACTTGGTGCAACTGTACAATATCACGCAAAATAAGACGTGGTTCGATAATGGCCCAAGGCAGATTGTTGAGAGCCTTGCGCACATGACAGGGGAGCTCTTGGAATACAATGAGACAACCAAGACCTACTGGATTCATAACATGACTGATCCAGATGAGTACGCTGTAAGTTGTTGCTAACCTCTTCAAAAGCAAAGAACTAACAAAAACAGAACCATATCGACAATGGAGCATTTACTATTGCCTCTGCTGCTGACCTTCTCCTCGTCGCAAACGGTCTTCGTCGAAACAATGGCGAGGCCATCAACGAGACCTGGCAACAAATGTCGGAGAATATCGAGTTCCCAACCTCACCTTCTGATATAACTCTGGAGTACCAGACCATGGACAATAATGTCAATGTCAAGCAGGCTGATGTTATCTTGCTCGCCTACCCATTGGACTATGACCAAAACAATTATACCGAGGCTGATAAGCTGTTGGATCTGGATTATGTTAGTCCTCAGTATCCTATCCCCTATGCATCGCTAACATTGTGCAGTATTCCAACCGACAGTCTCCAAATGGGCCGGCTATGACCTACTCCATTTCTGCCATAGTAGCGAACGCCATCTCCCCATCCGGTTGTGCTGCATATACCTTCACACTCAATGGCTTCCTTCCATATCTCCGTGCGCCATTCTACCAGTTCTCTGAGCAAAACGATGACAACGTCAAGAGGAACGGCCACCAAAACCCAGCCTTCCCATTCTTGACCGGCCACGGCGGCGCCAACCAGATCGCCCCCTTCGGCTTCCTTGGTCTCCGCACCGATCAGCAACACTTATTCATCAACCCATCCCTACCCCCTCAGATCCCGCACCTGAAACTGCGAGACATCTATTTCGCCGGCGCCGGTTTCCGCATCTCCATGAACCGCACACACACCACCATCACCCGCTTCTCAACCGAAGGCGTCCCCACCCTCACAGACAAATACGCCGGAACCAGCATGCCCATCGACGTCGGCACCCCTGGTGACAACCAGGCCATCTACAACATCGACGTCGACCAAACCATCTACGTCCCCAACCGCCTCTACTTCGACAACATCACCTACACAGGCAACCTCCTCCAATGCCAGAAAGTCTCCTCCACCGATGCCTACGCTCCCGGCCAATTTCCGCAAGCCGCCATCGACGGCGCTATCGCCACGGCGTGGCAGCCTACTGCAAATGGCTCGGCAAGCATTCTCATTGATATGTCCAGCGGCTCATATGAGAAGGTCAACCAGCTCTACTTCAACTGGGGCTCGCGCCCGCCTCGCCGCGCGGTAGTGTCGTTCGGTAATGAGACAGCATCTGACTGCAACGGCCAGCGCCAGCTCAGCGGGAAGGTCATCAGGATCCCGCTTAACTCCATCAAACCGAATGATCCCTTCGATGCTGCCGTAGCGGCTGCCGCGGTCGTGAAACCGTATATTGGCAACGAGACGCTGATTTCGGTGCCTGCTGACGCGTGGTCCGGGAACTGGGTGAAGTTGGAGATTGAGGGGTGTTGGGCGAATGGGGATGAGGATCAGAAGGGCGCGACGGTGGCGGAGTTTGTGGTTGTAGGAGGTGGTGCAGGGGTTGTCGGGGGCGAGGGGGGAGGGAAGGGGAATGGAACGTATAATGGGGGGCCGGCGAGTAATAATACGGTTGCGGGGACGGGGACGGGGGCGGGGGCGGAGGGGGCGGATGTTGGGGCAGAGGTGGCGGGATAGAGATAGGATTTAATGAGCTTATTGACTTTGTGTCATTCCACTCAACCTAACTATTCTTATGGGAGTGAAATCCGCGTAGAAATATGTATGCGGTGTTTTCAAGGCCCTTTTGTGCGTATATACTGGTACGAGTACGCGAACCTGGCCTTTTCTTGGCGGGGTAGTGGGGTAAAAAGAAAACCTTTGCTCAATTCAACACTCGTAAAAAAAATAGTGTAAACAAACAAACCTTAATTGAACATTCATAAAAAGAAAAAACTCGCAAAAAAGAAATGCAGCTGTGATGGATTCGAACCATCATTTATCTTCAATCTCCTGGCGGGACTGGGAATCGAACCCAGATTGAAACGGGCTTGTATGTTACAACAGATGTTATACCACAACGTCACGTGCTACCATTACACCATCCCACCGCGTTTAGCGGAAGGAGACCATATAGGCTGGTCAATTGTGGCGGATGGACGCTTAATCCGCTTTATGTACTTAGTTTGGGATCACGTGTTTTCGGGTTTCCTAGACGCGTTTGGTTTGCTGGACTCGCGTTGGATTGGGGCCACAAATACGATCGCAACTGAAGGACGATAATGGCGGCTCTGAGAGATATTGTGTAACACCGGTGATCAAGGTTGAAGGGTCGGTGAAGCTTCGGGGACTCTCCAAACTCATTGTCCTCATTCAACACCACTTCCCCCACCACCTCCAACAAGACAAACACCCCGCCACATCAATAATGCCTCGACCCTCTGAAAACCGACTCGTCCTCCCCGTCTCCTTCGCCCTCCTCGAAAACATCAAGATCTACTTCGAAGAGAACCTCGGTGCGTCCCCTCCCTCCCCACCAAAGCCAGCCCACTAACACCCCCCAGCAAACGACGCCCTCGACCTCCTCCAACACCTCGTCATCTCCGGCAAGAGAACCACCGCACCCCCCGGCAGCCGCCCCAACTCCGTCATCCCACCCCCCTCATACCTAGATCTCATCTCCACCCTCTCCATCCACCCGCGCCACACCACCTACACAAAGTCGCGTGATGACCACCAGGCCGCCTTAAATGCCTTGGGATACCTGCAACTCCTCCCCGCGCTAGTCAGCGTCAAGGACTCTAGGGTGGGTCAAGCCTTCCGCTTCGAAGAAGGTCGGTCGGCTGAAATCCAACGCTGGGAGAGAGGCACAAAGAGGAAGGCGAGGGTGGCGCTTGAGGGGAGCGAGGCCGTCGCATTCGACGACGATGTTATTGACCACCCCATAGCGCGGGACAGTATTTGGACCCAAGCAAAGGATTTCTGGCATGTAGTAGGGTGGGCGGTTAACTGTGCTGTTTGGCACCGCAGGAGGTGGGAGTATTGGCAGCTGTGGTTAGAGTTTATGATATTGGTTATGGAGAGGGATTTGGAGGAGAGGATTGCCCTGCGCGATGCGGGGGAAGAGGGGGAAGGGGGGAGGCCGGAGGAGTCGATTCTGGGAAGGTTCCTGCTGCTTAATGAGGGTGGTGAGTCGAGGCAGGTGTGGAAGAGGGCTGCGAAGGCGATTTTTGCGGATGGTTCGGAGAGGGCTATGAATGAGTTCCCTCTGGTTTGGAGGGAGGAGACGAAGGTACCCAAAGACGACGACATGGAAATGTACAAGGCACCGTCGATATACCGCGACGTCGAGGACCCTTCCAAAGACTGGCTCAGTCGCACCGGCCCAGGAGTGCGAGACCTCCGCATCCGCCTCATAACTCTCGTAAGCCCCCGTCCCCCCTCCACCACCCATCGACACCCTCAACTAACACCCCCACCAGCTCCTCCACATCTCCCACCAAACCCTATCAACCTCCCTCTCCCCCTCCTCCCTCTCCGACCTCCTCGCCTCCCACATCACCCACCTCCCCTACCCCATCTACACCTCCCTCCTCCGCGCCTCACCGCTTGACACCCTTCCCCTCTCCTCCCTCTCCACCCTCACCCAAACAATCGCAAGCTGGCTCATCGACCACGCCGCGCCCGCGAACCCCGGCCCTGATGATGCGCCTACGCAAGACACGCTTGCGATGTGCTTCCTCCCCTTCGCAGCTAACACCAGCTCGCTCGAGGATAACGCCCGACTTAGTTGGGCGGTTGAGATTTTGCAGCGTATGTACTTCGATGCGCACCGCGATGAGAGTCCCACGCGCGCCTTTGTCAAGGCGGCAGAAGCGGGCATTGCGGCGCGTGCGAAACGTGTGAGGGATGCGAAGGTGAGGACAGGGGTGAAGGGGGAGGAGGATGAGATGTTTAGGCAGCAGATGCTGGAGAGCTCGTGGAGGATGAGGATGTTGATTGGGGCTGTTGAGGAGAAGATGGTTAGGAGGAAGAAGAGGGCTGAGAAGGGGGGTGGGGGGGAGGGGGTGAAGGTGAAGGTGGAGGTGGTGGATAAGAATGAGGAGGTTGCGAGGGCGAAGATGATTTCGGATTTGGAGGCAGATTGGGATACTCTGGATTGAAGGAATTGGGGGGATGAATTAATGAAGGGATGATTTGGTGAATCAATGTATCTATCTCGATTTTGCTGGGCGTATGGATCGGGAGGAGCAGTTTTGCTATATTCGCTATGGCTGGATATTTCTGAAAAGGTCGGGACCTGAGGGTGCCATGGCTGGAATCCCCATCCTCATCCCCATCCTCATCCCCATCCTCATCCCCATCCTCATCCCCATCCTCATCCCCATCCTCATCCCCATCCTCATCCCCATCCTCATCCCCATCCTCATCCCCATCCTCATCCCCATCCCCATCCTCCTCATCTTCATCCTCACAACCGCAGCCTCGCAACTCCCTCAGCCTCGTCCCCATTTCCCAAACCACACCACCAATCACAACCCTCCTCCATGTCGCAATCGATCCCCTGTCCTCCCAGCCAATCACAGCGCCCACACTCCTCTGACAAGCTCCCAGTTCTCATAACCAATGCGAATTGATATATATCTCAATTCTCCCACTCGCGATTCTTCATTCCTTGATATCATTCCTTGATATCATTCCGTCATGTTCGCGTGCAGTGGTTTGAGACGCGTTGTGGTGGTGGTGAGGTCTTGTGGCCTTTGATCGGGCGGTCGCAGCGACAGTGAGTGATTGACGGGGAAGAGAAGGGGAATGGGGAGAGGAAAGTACCGTTTTTCTCATATATTATCACTTGGGTGGCGTAGAGAGGGAGCCGGGTTTTATTTGCGGTTTCTATTTCCTATATCTTTGGTTTGATACTCGTCTGGATCCTCACCTTCGTCTCCCAGTCTCCCAGTCTCCCAGTCTCCCAGTCTCTCAGTCTCAGTCTCACCAGATACTGCGGTAATGTATATCCTACATCTGCTCATCCAATGTCCTGCAGATACAGATACAAATCCGCACATATCGGCATATCTTCAGGATATTGGAGAAAGCATACACACACAAACACTGATAGACTGACATGCACCTGCAGTTTGCGCCCTTCAGTTTCCCCTCCTTCCTCATCAAAAACGACTCAAAACGACACAACAGAGCCCTCCCGACCACCGTACGACTCAAAAAGCGAAGCGGATACGGAGACCGTCGGAACAAATCCGCCGTCCACCGATCCACCCATCGCTGACCAATGACAAAATTCCACACCTGCCAATTTCTTAGTCTTGTCACGCTTCGCCCCGCTTGACTAAGGACAGACGAGGAAGCCGTGAAGGTTACAGGCACAATCTCTTGCTTGTCCCAGCGACAATCCGTTTCTCCTCAGCTGTTACGTGATAGCTCCCTGATGGCGGAACTGCGCCCACGTCGTCCTTGTGACCGCTGAACAACACAACAAACATATTGGGCAGACAAACGACGACCATATCACTCTTCAACCACGCCAATACGGCTTCACATACACAACGTACATAGCGGTCGGAACATGGCGACAAGGAAGCTCTTTCGCCAATTCTGGCGGCCCGTATCCAAACTATGTACCGGTGAGCTAGCTGCAACACCCATCCAACGCACCATCCAGACGAGCGCGAAGCATGCACACCCATTTCCGGGCAAGGAACACTTACGGCCACCTCCCAAACGGAATAGCCAGATGCTTGCTCTCACCGGCGGAGGTGTTCTAACCATCCTGCTCGGCTCACAACTCGCATTTCCATCCCACGAGAAGAACGCCCCCGAACCACCACCATCCCATGAGACCACCGCTAATCCACAACCCCATTCCGAGCCGGAAACCCAACCCGAGCTGAAAGAAGGGGTACAATATTACCGCCTTGATGAAATCCGCAGCCATGATGGTGCCTCGGCCCGGCCCTGGGTCACGCGCGGCACCTCCGTCTACGACATCACAGACTGGATCCCGGCACACCCTGGCGGCGAGGTGATCCTGCGCGCGTGCGGGGGCAGTCTAGATCCGTACTGGGACATCTTCTCGATCCACAAGCGCAAAGACGTTTACGAGATCCTAGAGGAGTACAAGGTCGGGGAAATCTCACCGCACGACCTCGTTGATGGCAAGCTCCCGGCCGCAACAGTCCCTAATCCCTTCATCGCCGACCCGGAACGTGATCCACGTCTCCTAACACTCACCACGCGTCCGCGCAACGCCGAAACACCCTCCGAAGGCCTCTCCCCTTTCCTCACCCCCACCCCCCTCTTCTACGTCCGGAACCACATGTGGGTTCCCCCTGTCGAGGCCAATGAGCACAGCCTAACCATCACGCTCCCCTCCGGCGACGAAAAGACCTACACTCTGCAAGACCTCAAATCCCGCTTCCGCACCCACACCGTGACCGCAACCCTCCAATGCTCCGGTAACCGCCGCGCAGACATGACCCGCGCCGTCCCCGACAAAGGCACCAACGGTCTCCAATGGGAAGCCGGCGCCATCTCCTGCGCGGAATGGACCGGCGTCAAACTCCGCGACGTCCTCGCTGACGCCGGGTTGGACCTCGCATCCCCCGGCCCCGACGCCAAACACGCACAATTCGAAGGCGCCGAAGCGTACGGCGCCAGTATCCCGCTCAGCAAGGTTCTCGACTCCCAAGGCGATGTTCTCCTGGCCTTCGGGATGAACGGGGCCCCCCTACCCGCCGACCATGGCTTCCCCCTCCGCGTCATCGTGCCCGGCAACGTTGCGGCCCGGAGCGTCAAGTGGCTCAAGAAAATCACCGTCAGCGACGAGGAGAGCACGACGCAGTGGCAGCGCCGGGATTACAAGTGTTTCGGCCCCAACGTCGCCAAGCCCGACTGGAGCAAGGCGCCCAGTATCCAGGAGATGCCCGTCACCAGCGCCATTACACGGATCCAGCGCCCCGAGGCCGGGGGAAAGGTCAACGTAGAGGGCTACGCGTATAGCGGTGGCGGCCGCGAGATCGTGCGCGTAGATGTGTCGATTGATGCCGGCAAGACGTGGGCGCAGGCGGAGCTGATGGGCGATGAGGGGAAAGGGAGTAAGAGCTGGTGGTGGAAACGGTGGCGGTTTGAGATCCCGGATGAGGGGGATGGGGGGGGGAGGTGCTGGTTAAGGCCACGGATGAGAGTTATAATACCCAGCCGGAGGATTATAGGGGGATTTGGAATCAGAGGGGGAATTTGAGCTGTGCGTGGCATGGGGTGCATGTTGGGCCGGGGGAGGGGGCGAAGGGGGGGAAGGCGGTGAAGGGGTAGGTGGATTGTAGAGTATTAGTACCGCGACATAGCATGGCATAATACCCGATTTATTAATTATTTTTGTGTTCGTCTTCACCTTTCCCAGTAGTATCACAACAGCGTGCCATTTTCTTGGAGGGACCACTACTGGTGATACCGCGCTGGGTCATTCAACCTTGAAGAACAGCTTGATCGCCATCGTGGAATCGATGGGATCTTTTAGAGCAACATTCCACCCATAAAAAGGATGGCCGACCGGAATCGACGAAGGTGGCAAGGATCTTCCGAGTGAAAGTGCTCCGACTGGGTTCTCACCTATCATGCATTCTTGTCACCAATTATTGATTCTCACCGATTATTGGTCCTCGCCGATCTTGAATTCCTGTCACCGAAATTCTGTCCACCGCTCAGAGAAGCAGGGACGTACTCCTTCCTTTCTGGAGAGCACGCAACTTTCCCTGCATTTCTTGTATTTCCTCCCTGTTACGCAGGCCTGTATGCCTTCCTTCAACGTCTTTTTTCTCGTTTTCTCGCGTAATAACCCATTGCCTCCGTCCGTCTGGAATCGCGCTTCCCATTTCTCAATCTCTGCGATCAGGGGGGGGGAGGATATCAAAGTCGAGGCAAAGAGGACAAAGATATCCACATATGCCCTCCAAAAAGTCTAACTGTACTAACATTACCATGGATGGTGCCAAGGATAAATATTCCATCACCCCCGCAAGAACTGACAGTCAACCTCACACCCGAGCGCTAGAAATCCCCGTCCCAGATTCATAGATGATCCGGACGTACTTATACAAGCGGTGACGGCAACGAAGTTACATCGGAGCGCATCAGACTGGATCCCACAAGGCGAAGCTTAGAAGTGCGAACGGAAGAATCTTAACATAGATTCTCGAAACGGATTTCAAACAGAAGTTGGGAATGGTCAAGAAGACGAAGACTGGGGTGTCATAACAACAAGAAGCAGCAACGGTGACAGAAACTAGCGACAGGAGCATGAACGGTGAACCAAAACCTACGACAGGCAAATGAAGTACTAAGCAAGCGCCGGAGAGCTAGGAAAACACGACTACAGCAAGGAGGATCACTTAGTCAACAAGGGGCGCAAGAGCTACAGGATGAGAGGGATGTTGTGCAGCAGGTAGAGCAGGAAATAAGGGCAAGCCGTGGTCGGAAGCCAAGGGAAGAAACCCGTGCCCGTCGCTGTGGCAAGTGTGGTGAGACTGGGCACAATGCGCGCACGTACATGTATAGCGAAAGCGCCAAACAAGCGAAAGCGCCAAAATTATCTACCCTCACGACAAACATTGCGATAAATCTACCACAACATTAGAAATCAATTGAAACTACTCGGAGTCCTCTTCCTCAGAGGTGTCTATTACAATCTGACACGTGCGCGCATTGTGCCCAGTCTCACCACACTTGCCACAGCGACGGGCACGGGTTTCTTCCCTTGGCTTCCGACCACGGCTTGCCCTTATTTCCTGCTCTACCTGCTGCACAACATCCCTCTCATCCTGTAGCTCTTGCGCCCCTTGTTGACTAAGTGATCCTCCTTGCTGTAGTCGTGTTTTCCTAGCTCTCCGGCGCTTGCTTAGTACTTCATTTGCCTGTCGTAGGTTTTGGTTCTCTCCCTTTAGCAGTGCTAATTGATGCATTATTTGCGATGCACCCTTTGTAAACTGGTCAACAGCTGCATAGATTGAGGTTGGAGAGCTATTTTGATGGCGTGAAATCCGAGTTTTAATAAATGTAGACTGTGACATAGCTTCAATTGGGTTGTTTGGTGTCTGAGAAACCCAAGGTTGAGCAGTACCTGGGCGGGAGCTTGGAGGCGTTGGTGTCCTTAACTTAAGATCAAGTGTAGATATCACTCTCTCAGGGTCAAATGGAAGAAGCCCTGCCCCTCGGAACCCGCCTCGAATGTTACTTTCCGTCATTGTAGTGTTAAATGCAGTGTGGAAGGCAGGAAAGAAGTCATCCTTTGTAATATGAGAAATATGAGCCTGCATCATATCTTCAATTTGCCGACCATAGGCCTGCTTTAACGGGCCGAAACAGCCAACATCAAGTGGCTGGAGTAGATGAGAAGAGTGAGCAGGCATACAAAGCGTAATAATGTTGTGTTCCTTGCAGTACTCCTCAAACTCATCTGAGTGGTGGCTCTCATGACCATCAAGGACTAACAAGCGATAACCACCAACACTCCGGGCCTTTGTATGCTTCTCAAAGTGCTGAATCCAATCCATGCCTCTCTCGTTTGTAGTCCAGCCATTTTCAGTAACAGAAATCACCCAATCGCTTGAAAATCCACTATTCTCATACCAAGATGTAAGGTGGTTTTTGCCTGCAACAATGATAAATGGTGGTACTGCCCAACCTTGAGAACTAACGCCTTGGATTACTGTAACCCATTCCCGATTACCAGGCTGTACCTTCTTTGCTTTTGCCCGCCCGTCTGAGCTTGTTACAACCATAGCAGTTGAGATAACGCCCATCATAAACCCAGTCTCATCAAAGTTGTAGATATCTGCTTCATCGATACCATATTTCGCAATTGTGTTACGCACAAGCTCAAACCAGCCATTAATAACTTCTGGATCTTCGCACTTAGCCCTCTGGTAGTCGTATTTGCGCTGAAAGCGTGTCTGGAGCTCTACACGCCGCTTAACAAAGTTTGAAGCCCAACGCGACCCAACGCGTGACGCGTCGCGTGTTGCAAGTAGTCGACTTGCCATATCTTCAACAACAGACAGCTGAGGAGGAAACCCTTTGGCAGCTAGGTCGAGTATATACTGAACAAGGACGGACTCCTCTAGGTTAGTTAATTTCCGTGAGTTGGCTTGGATATCGCGTCGTGAAGGTACACCTTCTAGACGACGACCTAGCTTGCGGTGGTCCACAGAATAGATCCTAGCAGCAACTCGAAGGCGTAACTTTGGGTCGCTTTGCATAGCCTGGATAGCTAGCACTAATTGGCTTTCATCGTTTTTATGGGGCATGTTTTGTTGTTGAGGAATTTAACATTTAGTTGGGGGGTTTGATCACTGCATCATTTTGGCGCTTTCGCTTGTTTGGCGCTTTCGCTATACATGTACGTTAACTTAACGTATTTCACGTACGAGTTGGCCACCAAAACACCAAAACACCAAAACGCGTCGACTAGACTACAGTCGACAATGCCACAACCAACACAAGCCCAATCCTCTAATCAAGAGGATAGATTACTTGTAGCTATTCAGGCACTAAAGCAACATCAATTTAAAAGTGTCCGAGCTGTTGCATTGTCGTACGATGTACCACGGACGACCCTTAGCAACAGAATGAATGGAATGACTTCCTAACGTGACTCTACCCCTAACTTACACAAGTTGACTCTGTACGAAGAGTTAGCTCTTGTTTAGTATATCCTCGACCTAGATTCACGTGGATTTCCACCCTAGCCACAAGCTGTACAAGAAATGGCAGACCTTCTACTCTCTGAAAGAGGCAAGGGCCATATTAGGATAAACTAGACTACTACCTTCATTAAACGTCATATAGAAATCAAAGCAAAGTTTAGTTAGATACGATTATAAACGAGCAAAATGTAAAGATCTAAAGATAATTCAAGGGTGGTTCTCCCTTGTACGAAACACAGTTGTAAAATACAGAATCTTAGAGCAGGATATCTACAACTTTAATGAAGCAGGTTTCGTAATGGGAGTTATTGCTACTGTAAAGGTTAAGCTTGCTTAGAAGCAAAGAGCCGTCCGAAGACTATACAGCTAGGGAATAGAGAGTAGGTATTAATCAGTGTGTAGCGAATCGTGATTCGGCATGATTCACCCCGAATCAAATTCGATTCATGATCTGATTTGGGCTATTTCTTGATGATTTGAATATGCTTTAGCAAGTATTCGAATGATCCGAATACTTGCCAAGATGTCTAAGATGTCCATGCATCTAGCAGTGAGGACTTACTGTCGTCCTTAATATATAGCTTTTTAGATTGACATTTAATACATCTAATCATTAAAATTATCGTCATTATGAGTGATTCCGAGTTGTCTAACATCCCTAAGGATCTTAACAATCATGTTATTTATAAAGATAACAGTAATGATGGCGTATTCTCATCGTCTTCGCTATCATTACCACAAAGCAGTACTGCAACACTACAGCTACCAGTCACTCATTCTGCTCTTTTTACAAGAATCTATATTCTTGTACTATCTTAAGAGGCCCTCCTAATAAGATGCAATATGCTTGTATACAAGAAGGCTGTTCATATATGCCTAAAGCTAAACCAGTATCGCAAACTGTATAACAGCATAATTTAAAGTAGGATAAGAAGAGCCTTGTAGCTTCTCTGTTGGGCGTATAAAGATATAGAAAAAATCTAATAACGCCTTCATCGTTTGCCAATCTTTTGCTGTTAAAGCTATATCTTTCATACTTAAATCAAGCTGTTGAGATGCACAGAGAGTGTAAGGACACAGGGCACCCAGCTCAAAGTAATAGCATATGGGAGTGCAAGTCGGAGGCTAAACGGATGCTATCCTATAGGTCTACTACAAAGGATACAAAAAAGATGATGGGGGAACCCCGTGAGTCGATTGTCTCAAGTACCCGAAACCCATCCGACTTGGTTACGACTCGGTTAGCCCACCCAAATGATCACACATGACCCCGCAGCTACCCAGAGTCTACTCCCTAGAATGAGAGACGAGAAGGCATCCTTACACTACCCCCCTCCTGAGAGAGTGCTTTGTCCGCAAGGCACGCAGCTAGTATCATGTCCGCAAGGCACGCAGCTAGTATCATGTCCGCAACGTCTCTGAATAGTCTCCGTGAACGGAGCGTTCTTTGTTATCATAATGTTGGCTGGTAATTGCGTCCGGAACAACTTCGTTTGTCATGCGCGTCGGGAAGGTGCTTTGTTTGCCACAGTAGTCATCCCGAGGTGGTATCGTGTTAGGGTCCATTTGGCATGTGAAACTGGGGCTCGCTTTTGTTCAATCTCACGTTCGTTCTTGAGGTCCGAAACCGTACCGGAAGGTGTCCGCTACACGTTTGAGTAGAATTTTCGTAAACGTGAAAGAAGAAGTGGCTGCGCTAGCCCGATTCAGAGTTTATTGTTGTAAGCCAACATTTGAGTATTCCGCTTCGCCCACTTCCTCTTGTTTTTACCTTACAACAACAACGCCAGCGACCCTCCCACCCGAGACCAGTAAGTGGCCCCCCCCCCGTCTGTTTGTTTATGATACTGATAGATTGGATAGTATAACTCCAATCCACAAGAACGAGTAGGTGATGAGAGCGCGTTTGCGCGGTGTTGATAACTTGTGCTGGGCTGACGGAATCACAGATTCCAAATTTGAAGATGCCGGTTCCCACCCCCTCTGGGGCCCCGGTCCCCGGCCAGTTCAAAGTGTGGGTACTGCACATCGCAGCACTCGCCTTGCATCCCGGTAGGTTTTCTTGTGGGGTTCAGTGTTTGGTTTGGTTGGCCGTTGCTAACTTTGGTGAAAGCTGCCCTGGTTCCTTGGGGAAGAGTTTTCGGCCCTCCTGGCCGCCGAAGAGGCCACCCCCCTCATCCCCGCCGACGTCGTCGCCGCCGCCACCAAGGCCAATCAAGCCACAACCCTACGTAATGGATAGCAGAGGATATGATTGACATTTGTTATCTATGTTATCCCTAATATCCCTTTGGCATGACACTACTATATAAGTAGATAATTCCCTTAGATAGGAGCTTCATGCTCAACTCAATATAGTATTCTTTACAATACTATAACGTGTTACTTAGAAAGCCTTTGTGTTTAATCCCCTGCCTCCTCTATTAACTCAACCTTATGTAAGAAACCTCTATGTCTTCTATTGTTTAGAAGTTAGTGTTACACTTTAAGCACCACTTCTACGAGGTACCAGCTTACACACAAAGCAACATAGCTAGAGACGATACTAGATCAAATGTTAAAACAAAAGGGAAGGTAGCCACTAAACCTACCATTGAAGCCACATAGGATCACCCTATAGACAAGCTTAAGATTGCATTCCCTGATACCTTTCATAGGGATAGCAAGAAGCTTAAGAGTTTGCTCATCTAGACAGAGCTATAAATGGCGTTTAACGCCAAACACTTCACCTAAGAAGTGGAACAGATCCTATAGGCCATGGCCCTCCTACGAGGACCAGCCTTAGAATGGATCTCTAATTACCTTGCTAACTACATGTCCCATTAAACGTCAGCAGGAAAATGCAACACCTAAGCCAGCTAAGAAACGAAGGAGATTTTTGTCATGGTTCACCAGGCATAGGGTGCCAGTTGGGTATTATGAATTAAACTCAATCTAGAGAAGGAAGGAAAGAGAAGAGGAGCACTCCAGCAGTGGCTCGATCTGTATACAGCTATGTTGTTGTGGAGTGAATTCTCTTTAGGGAGACCAGTTCTGAGAATTCACTCCACAACTGAAAACTTCGCTCCAACCCCGGAAAGCTCCCCACACCCCTGAACCCCTACTCGAGCTGCAAGGCGCACTTGATATCGTAACAATTTTCGTATCCTAGGCTAGATTCATTAGACAACTTAAAGCAAACTTTGGAGACACTAATGAATGACAGAATGCAGTCAGGGCACTCTAGTCTCTTAGGCAGAGAGGGTTAGCAGTTGCATACACCGCTAAGTCAACAGCATACAACACTTACTAAGTAGGGAGAAGAGGCTATCTATGACCAATTCTACACAGGTCTAAAGGACCATGTAAAGGATGAAATCTCGAGGTCCGACAAACCAGATAACCTTAGGGAGATGATCAAGTTAGCCTAGAAGATTGACAACCAGCACTATGAACAGAAACTCTATAATATGGATGCAATGAAAGGACATACCATGCTCTAGGTTGTGTAGATTCCAATAGTGTTTTACCTGTCGTAATGAGGTTGAAAAGTACTGAATCCGCCTTACTCCATCCTGATCTCGCATGATAGGAAGAGATTGAACCTCATCGAAGAATCTAAATGCTCTGTAGTTTTGTGACGCACGAATTTCTAGACGAAGTCCTTCAAGGTCGGTCTTACTTGCAAGACGAAGTTCTTCCAAGCCGGCCTTGAGGTCAGCCTTGGTTGTAAGACGAAGTTCTTCGAGGTCGGTCTTGGTTACAAGAGTTGGAAGAATTTCGCGTAGGTGTTCGTAAGTCACGATATTGCCATTTGTAATGGTGGGTGCACCAGATGTGAGAATCTAGCCACCCAAGGAAGGGATGAATTTACTAAGACAACACACTGTCTTAGGAAACAGAGCCAAAGGGTTGTAGCTTAGACTATTCCACAATGCAGCAATCAGGTGTGTGATGTAGTGAAGTGGTTCAGACAAGTTGCAACAAATGTTGAGTCTGGGAACTCAGGGGTAAGTCAGAGGTTAACACCTCACTGACTTTTCAGAAACAAGGAGTAACAAGATGAATGCTTGGAAGCTTGGAAAAGACGTGGAAGTATGTGATAGTCGATTTACTGTATTGTCTGCTTGCCCTTTCTTAAGGAAAGGGCAATCCTATTTATGCTAAAGGAGTGTAGTTCTCTCGTTTTCCAAGACTTTCCATGACTTACCAGGCTTGGTAACTGTAGTCGACGTAAGAGAATCCCATAGAACCATCTCTTAGGTTCGTAGCCTATAGGAAGTAAAAGAAGGTCCAAGGTCAGAGTACCCCTATAGACAAATTATGTCATAGACAAATTATGTCATAGACAAATTATGTCATAACTTAACCAATCTTGTGGGTAACTAAAGAGCGATGACATGTAATGAATCATAGAGGTTCGTAGGAGCTTTTAGAGCTATCATTCATGCTCCTAGGCCTCTAGTTGGTAGAAATATGTCATGTGGTAGTATGAGTGATGTCATGTAATGAATCATAGAGGGTTGTAGAGATATGCTATGTGATAATATCGGCCCAGTAACTAAGGAGCGATGATGTGTAATGAATCATAGATGGTTGTAGCAATCGTTGAGTAGTATTGCTCTTGTTGTTGGTGTGATAAGCCAAAATATGTATAGTGACTTGTAGGTTTGAGGAGGAGATTTCCAAGTTTGCTCTTGAGTTTGATAGCAAACTGAGTGCAACGAATGTCAGTATGACAATGTTCATGGTTATTCCAGTAACTGCACCAGCTATGATGGGAGCTGTCATCTACTCTGACAGTCAGAGAGCGATCCAGGTGATTAGAACCCCCACGCCATCAGATGGGGCAAGCATAACCACAGATATCCACAACATCATTCGGAACACATCAAAAGGACAACGGCAGATATCCATCAAATGGATCCCTAAAGAAGCACAGATACCCAGACACGTAGAGGTGGACCGACTGGCAAAAATGGCCACAGCTAGCACAGGTGAAATCACACCGACCACGTGGACACAGAGGAGCTCGAGGGAGCACAGCAGAATGAAGCTAAAGGCCCTCATCCAAGACACAACACGAGCCACGTCCGAATGGAAAACGGGTCAGAGCCTCCGCGCTATAGACAGCGCAATCCCAGGGAAACATGTCAAAACCCTATATGATACCCTCAACAGGAAGGAAGCACTAATACTTTCGCAACTCCGAACAGGGCACATGAGACTCAATGCCTTCCTCTACAAGATTGGGGTAACAGACAGTGCAGCATGCAAGTGCGGACATGAGAAGGAAGACATCCGTCACTTCCTACTCCACTGCCCAACGTATTCCATGCAGAGGCAACAGCTGGCGGATAAACTAGGAAGAAACTACGGCAACATATCACATATGCTGGGAGGTCGAGCGTCGTATGCCATGACCAATGGACAAAATCCAGATGGCCCGGCGGAGACCTGGAAACCCAAGATGGAGTTGGTGAGAGCAGTCATTAGGTTTGCTCTAGCAACGAGGAGACTCGACCACAACGTGCGGGTGGAACCAGCATCAGAACTAGAAAGCGAGGGGGAGAGTGAGGCAGGAGGCAGGAAGTGGATGAGGAGGAGGTAGTAGAGTAGAGTAGAAGGGAGCGAACCACTCCATACACAAGCCAAGTGCGGCCTAATAGCGAACACACAGAACCTGCACGGGAGACTGGAGCTCATGGGACCTGTGGTCCCGCATAGCGTAGGATTAAATCAATTGTCACATATAACTGTGCTCGCGATCATGTGAATCTGTAATGAATTGAATACTCTGGTCTCTACGTAATGTGGGAAAGCTCCTCTTTATAGAGAAGAGCTTTCCTAAGTGAGCTCATAAGCTCGAGTGAAGCGAAATGAGGGACCACTGCTCGGTCACGTGGTGGTCTCTTCGTGACATCAATCAATCAATCAACCCCTGTGTAGATACGGATCCCTTTTTGGCTTGGCTGCAACTATCGAGGAGGGGCAGAAAGAACCCTAACGTAAGTCGTGGCGTAACGCGGGGGATGGCGTAACGCGGGGAATTCACCCCGCCGACTTCTGATAACTGTGAATAACTCAACAATGGTTCGCTGTAAAAGCCTGGGTGTTGCTGAGCGTGAAACTTTAATAGCCCAGGCAGTATTAGACGTCCAATCTAAGAAGTATAAGAGTGCATATCACGCTGAGAAAGTGCTGGGGCTGCCGAAGAGTTCAGTGACGCGACGCGTCAATGGAGGTTTGACACGCTCCCAAGCCCACCAGAAACAGCAGAATTTATCAGGCGCACAAGAACAGATACTTCTAAAGTGGATTAAAAACCTAACAATCAGCGGCTATTCTCCAGGGCATCGGTTGTTGAAGGAAATAGCTGAAGAACTCCGGTCGCACCGGTCACTCAATTTTGACGACGCGACGCCAAACTTACTTCTACCCCAACCACGATTTTCCCTCGGTCGCGACTGGGTACCACGATTCATACAACGACATCCCCATCTACAGGTCGCTATTGGGCGACGGATCGAAACTGTACGCACGGACGGTGCAACAAAACCAGTGCTTACGGCATGGTTTAACGCATACACCAAGGTGGTTCAAGAGTTTGGAATCACGCAAGAGAACACATATAACATGGATGAATCCGGATTTTCGATTGGGACAATGGAATCTACTCGAATTATACTTGATTCAACGCTTTGTACGAAGCATCAAGCGCATCCTGGCCGTCAGGAATGGGTTTCGATGGTCGAATGCATCTGCGCAGATGGAACCATCCTCCCACCCCTCGGGATCTTTAAGGGCAATAACGTTCTCCAATCATGGATTCCGCCCGCAGTCATCGACCAGTGGTTCTTCTCTGCGAATACAAAAGGCTGGACAAGCAACCTTCATGGGTTGGAGTGGTTAAAACGCATCTTCGAGCCAACAACACGTACAAAAGCAGATGGTCAGCACCGGCTTCTTATATGTGATGGCCACGACTCACACATTAGCGGGAGTTTCATTGCGCATTGCATGCAGAACCATATTGTATTACTGATACTTCCCCCTCATACATCGCACTCACTACAACCACTGGATGTTGCGATATTCGGCCCGCTAAAAAAGCGTCTGACAGCAGCGCTGTCCCCACTCAACCAAGCGCAACTTGCGCGCATACAGAAGTATGAATGGATGGAGGCATACATCCAGGCACGGCTTGATGTATGCAACCATCAGAACATTGAGTCAGCATACCGTGGCGCTGGCTTGTTTCCTTTTAATCCCCAGCGAGCATTGCGTATGCTGCTCAATGCTGAACCATCAGTCGAGGCTGACCGACCAAAAACACCACATCAGTATGATATTTTTGACCGAGTCTTTATCAACAGCTCCCCCCCAGATGGGATGACCTTACGCTCTGCAAATGCGCTTCTTACAACTACGATTAATAGTGGTGGGGTGCTGTCAACACCAGTGCGGACGTACATCCAAAAACTCACAGTTGCGTCAGAGCAACTTCGAGCACGCAGCATTGTCCACCAACTCGATGCCAACAACCTGCGATCAGTTATAAAGCAACGTACGGTACGTACGAAGGGGAAAAGGGTTATTCTGAAGGGTCACTTTCATGTTTCTACGCAAGAGTTGTGTGATGCGGTGATGGAGGCGGAAAAGGCGACACATAACCCAAGTAAGAAAAAGCGCAAAACAAAGGATAAGAACGCCTCCTCAGACATTGAAATTGACGAGTATATTGAGGAAGAAGCAGGGGAACAATCTAAGAGTGATGGTGGATCATGTATTATCGTTGATTGTAGTTAAATTTACAGATTTGTTGTGTTCTCTTCAAATTTCCACCGCGTTGCGCCATCCCCCGCGTTACGCCACGACTTACGTTACTTGCACTGCCCACCTCACGCATGCTCGACCAACACCAAGGGGAGCTGCTTTTGCAAGTGGCGAAAAGCGAAAAAGCGAAAAAGCAAAAAATGGCGTATCCCAAAAGCATCCGGAGGCGCGGGGCCCAACCTCCATATGTGTCAATACTCGATTGGCTAACAACAAGAAGTATCAGTGGTTTACGTTATAATTGACGGTATTTTACGGAGTCATAGAAAAGCAGTGCGAACGTCATGAGGGAACGGATTGATCGGAGCAATAGTAGGGCCCATTTTAATAGTGGAAGGTTGACGTTGCAATTCTATCTACAATATCCTATAATAATATCCTTCTATCTACAATATCCTATAATAGTATCCCACGCATTGGGCAGCTATTCGCGGTTGGGCCCTGGCCTATTCGCGAAGGCTTATATTCGTGGTTGGCTGGCTTATTCGCGAATACAACTTATTCGTATGAACATCACGCAAACTCTCGCGGGACAGCCTCCTTCCCCAACCCGCTGACTCTTCTCGTCCAGTCCCTAACACTGCCAGCCCACTTGCTCACTGCCTTCCCGCTCGTAGCACTCGCTCTCTTAATATGCGCGAACTCTTTCTCCACAAGAACAGGCCAATGCATCCCATGCCCCTCCACCGCCGCTATCGAGTCGGACTGGCTCCTCCGCCTCTCACTTTCTCCAACGCCGTCATCATGCCAATCCACAATATCCCTAGCCTTCGGCACCACACACAGATACAGCGGATAAAGTGTTGCAGTGAACAATAAAACAACCCCAGCAATAAATAGCCTCCTAGTATCCTTCATCCCCTTAGTAATCCCGAGAACGACCCACGGTCCCGCCGCTCCTCCTACGTTCATAGTGATAACCAATGCAGCACCGAGCTTTGTTTTCGCGCCGAGGCCCCTCAGCGCCAGCCCCAAAATAATTGCATACACGGGGCCCTCACAGAAATATTCTGCGATGGCCAGTCCCGCAATCTTCGCACTGTTATCCTTCTCCAGCTCTGATGGAATCAGAGTGAACCACAACTTAATTGCTGCAGAGCTTAAGAAGGCCCCAAGTAGGATGAAGCGCGGCCGAACATAGAGACACAATACCGCGGCCAATAGCAACGACCCCGAGAATGCGCAATGTCCAATGAGAACAAAATTTGGGGATAGTAACTGGCGCCGGTGCGCGCCGTTTCTTCCGGGGATGGCGGAAAGGAACGAGCTGTTAAACCAAACATTGAAACCCTCCTGGTTGAACATATAGCTGAACATGGCGAAGCAGGCCAAGGTGAGGCTTACATAGACAACTCGACAGCCAAAAATGCGATTACCAGGATCGTCGTTAACAGTGCGGTTAAGTGGTAAAAGCCGGGTCTGCAGAGAGTTTTGGAGGCCCTCATCGCTCGCCTCCGGTAGTGGCATGTAGTGAAAAACAAGGGCGACGATGACTGTGATAAAGGAAATAGCTAGATATGTCCATCGTATATTATGGATGTTATTGTGAACTTCATTAGAGGGGGAAAATGCCTTCTCAACGAGGAGCTCGCTGACAATGGCACCAATACTCCGAACGAATTGAACTGCTAGAAGGCGAGACTCGCCGTAGCGTGGCGGGCCGCAGAGGATGACAAAGGGGTTTGCGACGGTCTCGAAAACCGACAAGCCAAATCCAATGATGAAATTGGAAATGATGAAGCCCGGATAAGTAATAAGGATGGAGGAAGGCCAGAAAATGAGAGTCCCAGTTCCAAAGATGCAAAGACCGACCATGAATGTCACCTTAAACCCACCCTTTTTCAGGCAGTACAACCCAACCGTTAGGGGGCCGAAGAAATATCCGGCAAAATACATCGTGTGCAGAGATACGGTCAGTGCTTGCGTATAACGTGCAACCACAGATATTTGGACGTTGAGCGTGTTGAGTAGCCCATAAGAAAATCCTAATAGGAAGAAGGAAGCTGAGATCCAAGAACAGTATTTCCACGAGTCTTTTACAGAAGTGCGCAGCATAGATCTTGGCTGGCAGATTTTTACAAAGCCAAAATGGAGTTCGTTAGGTTGGTCAGGACTGGATCCACTTCGTGGAGGGTTGGCCATCCCAGGCGAGGTGAGAGAGTTGAGCATGTCCATTTCTTGGTGTTGCTGTTGTTCCGGCGAGAGAAATCCTTCCTGTGCTGGCTGTGCATGGTTCTGTACTTGGTCTTCGGCATCATTCTGCTGTGAAAGCGCTGTTTGTTGCGGGAACCTTCGCCTGGGAGAGTAACTCTCATGCTCAGCTGAAAGTGAAGTTGAAGTCTCGGTTTGCTCTATGGGTGTACTGCTCTCTAGGGCGGGTAAAATAAGGGTTTCCTGCGAGGGCTCCAATGAGGGCTCTTGGGATGGTTGCTGCAAGAATGATCCGCCTTCCTGGACTGGTGAAAAAGAGACTCGTCGTGAGGCCAACTGCGAGGGCGCCTCGCCCATTCCGCCGATGGGTGATACTGATGTTCGATGTGAATTCTGTAGAATAGGTGTCCCAAGGTTCGGAGCTGGCGTCATTGACATTTCTGGCAAGGGGGTTGCTGACATTCTGAAGTTTAAGAGCGTTAACCCTTCTATATTGTTCTGCGCGGCGGGACGCGGAAGCGTGGGCATTTCCTCCGGCCTTGTCAGGGTCGCTGAGATGTTAGGTGATTTCTGGCTACTATGAAACCCAGGAGGGTTAATGAGCTTCGGCATTGTCTTGCTTATCAATGGCTTCAGTAGCGGGATGCAACCGCATATAATGCCGATATTGACCTCTACAATCGACCACATTAGACCGTATGATACATTGAATACAAAGTTGGGACTTGCACCAAGTCCGGGCGTTACTTGTGGTGAGCTGGAATTAGGAGTTGTAATTCCTAGGGCTTGCTGGAGGTAATAGATTCGGATCACGTCCACAACGGTGACAAATATTCCGAGTCCGAACGTTAAGACTAATATTGTCTTCTGTCTCGTAGGCAGATGCATGCCGGTGAGAACAGGTATTGGAAGTACCAATATTGCAAGATCAGTGATAACATTAGACGGCGACGAGGCGAGAAAAAGTGTGACCAAAGGTATACACTTCTGTGACGGATCAATAAAAGACTCCGAGAAGATCTTGTCGAGAGGGTGGCACTGGAAAATATTGACAAATGTCAATACCAGTCCTACCACATTTACCACTCCCATTGTTGTGTACGTTCCAATCCAGAACAGCTTATTCGTCCTCGAAAGGCGTAGGTAGAATATTAGGATGCTCGTCTTGGTGGCCATAAGGGCGAGGTTCTGATAATTGTTAGTTCGATCTCTTTCCCTCATATGCCACTCCATTCCTGTTCTGCACATCCAGAGCTCCAAGCTATTATAAGTAGGGATATACGCACATAAAGTATACTATAGATATACCCGAATTTCTTCAAAGGCGATAGCCACTCTGGTTTGAGTTCTGCATCCATCAGGCCAAGCCCCTTTCGTGCCGCAAGTAGAATAGTAAGAGAACCTCCAAATGCAATTATCCAGGCGATTATCATCATGTAGTCATCCAAGGTTGTACGCCTCGTGATAGATATCCGGCTTATCATCCGTAGTGCCACGAACACAAAGGCCACGACGATCGTTACAGTTGTCGCGACTTGCATGGCTTGGCGCCGATCAGGACCAGACATGTTGTCGACAGAGATTCGGGAGGAGAATTGCTCGAATAACTAAGGGATTCTCCAACAACGCATCGGCATGTTATACGACTAGTGGTGGGCGTACTGAACGAGTGCGTACATAGGTACGCTCGTGCGTATAGACTTCCTATTATTGTAAGAGCTCCCCTTGAGCCCTCCGGTAATCCCAAATGCCATCACCAAGCCGGAATGTCATATGCGGTCCACAGCGTCTTTCTGTGTTCGTGCGATCCAAACCTCGTGTTGTGCTCGGTCTGGATCCAACGTTCATGCAAACGGTGCTCCCCGGCAATAATGAAAGAAACAAGACGCGAATAGCCTCGCGACTGGTAGAGCAGAAAGCGAAATATTTTCTCTTTCCCTCACGCCACTTTGTGTTGGGAAAGCTATGTGTGCCGTCATTGGAGCTACTTTACCTCACTCAGCTGGTGCCGAGCTCAGGCAGCTTGATGTCATTTGGACCTCGACCAAAGTTGTAGATCTAAGGGACGCGCCGACGAACAGTAAATCCGGGGAAAAAGTGAATCAATCCACTTCTGCTGTTATCGGAGGAAGCGAAATGCGCGCTTTCGCAATTTATAGGCAGTAGGTACCACTCCATAGTGATTTATATATAAAGGTAACGTGCATGTATAACGAAAGTGCCAAACAAGCGAAAGTGCCAAAATCATGCGGTGACCAACCCCCCCAACTAAATGTTAAATTCCTCCACAACAAAACATGCGCCATAAAAATGATGAAAGCAAATTAGTGCTAGCTATCCAAGCTATGCAAAGTGACCCAAATTTGCGCCTTCGAGTTGCAGCTAGGATCTATTCCGTAGACCACCGCAAGCTACGTCACCGTTTACAAGGCGTACCTTCACGACGCGATATCCAAGCCAACTTACGGAAATTAAGTAACCTAGAGGAATCAGTTCTTGTTCAGTATATACTTGACTTAGCTGCTAAAGGGTTCCCTCCTCAGTTGTCTATTGTTGAAGATATGGCAAATCGACTACTTGCAACATGCGACGCGCCACATGTCGGGTCACGTTGGGCTTCAAACTTTGTTAAGCGCCATGTAGAGCTCCGGACACGCTTCCAGCGAAAATATGACTACCAGAGGGCTAAGTGCGAAGATCCACAAGTCATCCGTGGCTGGTTTGAGCTTGTATGGAACACAATTCTAAAGTATGGCATCAACAATGCAGATATCTACAACTTTGATGAGACTGGGTTTATGATGGGCGTCATCTCAAGCGCAACGGTAGTAACGAGCTCAGATGGGCGGGCAAAGGCAAAAAAGGTGCAGCCTGGCAATAGGGAATGGGTTACAGTAATCCAAGGCGTTAGTTCTCAAGGTTGGGCAGTGCCGCAATAATGCATCAATTAGCATTGTTAAAAGCAGAGAACCAAAACCTGCGACAGGCAAATGAAGTGCTAAGCAAGCGCCGGAGAGCTAAAAAAACACGACTACAGCAAGGAGGATCACTTAGTCAACAGGTAGCACAGGAGCTACAGAACGAGAGGGACGTTGTGCAGCAAGTAGAGCAAGAAATAAGGGCAAGTAGTGGTCGGAAGCCAAGGAAAGAAACCCATGCACGTCGCTGTGGCAAGTGTGGTGAGACTGGACACAATGCGCGCACTTGTCAGATTGTAATAGACAGGTCTGAGGAAGAGGACTCCGAGTAGTTTTAATTAATTTATATTGTTGTGGTGGATTTATCGCAATTCTTATGGGGTAGTCGCGATATTTTGGCACTTTCGCTTGTTTGCCACTTTCGTTATACATGCACGTTACTCCAAAAGCAATTTAAAATATTCTAAAGAGGAAAATTCAAGCGAACAGAGAGATACGTATAGAATAGATATATACCTTGAGAATTATTCAAGCAGTTGTTTTATTTTCTTTAAAATAATATGATCTTGATATTTTTAAATATCATGTCTTATAACGTATTTCACAAGCGAGTTGGCCACCCAAGCAAGTTGGCCACCAAAACACCAAAATTGACTATTACTGCCTACTACTACACCACCACCCTACATAATGACCCTTATTCGATCGTAATTGAATCCTTGTGCCTCGTACATGTACGGGAGTTATGGCCCATAATACCACATATGCCACAGCGCTTCTGTCGGCCTGTAGAACCCACCTGCCGACAATGCTCACTTGCCACCTCCGTACGGACTTGAGCTTCTACCTCAGCACTCTGAAGCATATCCTCTCCCTCTCGTACGGAGAGACTGCCCCCTTGCATTATACGCCTCTTGCGCTTCCTTTCCCTCCTCTTTTTCTGTTCATTTGCCGCTTGTAGAGCCTTAACTTCTGCCTTAAGTAGAACAGCAGAATGCATCATCATTTCCGCCCCTTTAACAAGGCAGCTAACAGCATCATTAATTGAGGTAGGAGAGCTATTCTGATGTCGTACGATGCGGTTCTTAATGTGCTCTGTTTGAAAGTTAAGCTCCCTTATAGTTTGAGGAGTCTTTGAAGTCCAATTGTCACTCTCAACTATAGGAGGTGTTGGAGTCCTTAAGCGTAGATTTAAGTGAGAGAGGACACTCTGTGGCTCGTACGGAACTAGTCCTGTAGCTCGGAATCCGCTCTTGATGTTCTGCTCTGTAAACGTAGCTTTGAATGCTTCTTTGAATGCAGAGAGGAACTCAAGCTTTGTGATGTGGTTTAGCCGGTTCCGTACGAAGGTTTCAATCTGCTTTCCGTACGAAAGCTTTAGTGGCGCAAAGCAGCTCACATCAAGAGGCTGAAGAATGTGTGATGAGTGTGGTGGCATACAGAGGGTAATTATCTTCCGTTCTGTGCAGTAGTGTTGAAATTGAGCAGAGATGTGGCTCTCATGTCCATCAAGAATAAGAAGGCGATAGGTTCCGACCGTACGAGCATTTGTATGTCGATTGAAGTGTTGAATCCACTCATACCCAATTGAATTTGAAGTCCACCCATTCTCACTAAGCGTAATCACCCAATTGTCTGGTAATCCTGAGTCTTCGTACCAAGCTGAGAGGTGATTCTGCGCCTTGAAAATAATGAACGGCGGGAGTGCCCATCCGTACGAATTAACACCTTGGATAATTGACACCCACTCTCTATTCCCTGGCTGTATAGTCTTTGGACGGCTCTTTGCTTCTGAGCCTGTGACTACCTTTCCAGTAGCAATAACTCCCATTGCGAAACCTGCTTCATCAAAGTTGTAGATGTCCTGCTCTAAGATGCCATATTTTGCGACTGTGTTTCGTACGAGGGTGAACCACCCTTCAATTATCTTTGGATCTTCGCATTTTGCTCGTTTGTAATCGTACTTCCGACTAAACTTTGCTTTAAGTTCCGTACGACGCGTTATGAAGTTACTAGTCCAGTTCTTCCCAGTAGGGCTCTCACCTCGTTCGGAGAGTAGTAGGTCTGCCATTTCTTGCACAGCTTGCGGCCGGGGCGGAAATCCACGCGAATCTAGGTCGAGAATATACTGAACAAGAGCTGACTCTTCGTACGAAGTTAGGTTTTGTGATTTTGGGGTAGAATCACGTCGGGAGGTCATTCCATTCATTCTGTTGGTAAGGGTACTACGTGACACGTCGTATGATAATGCAGCAGCTCGGACACTCTTAAATTGACGTTCCTTTAGTGCCTGAATAGCTAATAGTATTCTACCCTCTTGATTTGAGGATTGGGCTTGTGTTGGTTGTGGCATAGTTGACTGTAGTCAAGTTGACGCGTTTTGGTGTTTTGGTGGCCAACTTGCTTGGGTGGCCAACTCGCTTGTGAAATACGTTAACCAATCTTTAAGTTCACCAATACATGCACATACCTATAGTGATGTATTTTCTCTCGATGATCCTCAATATAGTAATAATTATAGTAATCACTACTAACTTTTATTAGCACCCTCCCATCAACTACCATTAAAATGGTGGAAAGAAAATGAACTACTATTCCCAGGACTTGGTGCTATGGCCGGGATATACTTTGTATTCCTGCTTCAGAAGCTCTTGTTGAGCGAGTGTTTAGCACTGCCCGCACTGTCTGCAATTATAAGCGCAACCAAATCATGTAAGGATGCCTTCTCATCTCTCACTCTAAGGAGCAGACTCCGAGTAGCTGCAGGTCACGTGTGGTCATTTGGGTGGGCTAACCGAGTCGGATGGGTTGCGGGTACTTGAGGGAATTGACTCACGACCCTGGTCACGTGTGATCATTTGGGTGGGCTAACCGAGTCTGATGGGTTTCGGGTACTTAAGGGAATTGACTCACGGGGTTCCCCCTTCATCTTTTTTGTATCCTTCATAGTAGACCTATAGGATAGCATCTGTTTAACCTCTGACTCACACTCCCATATGCTATTACTGTGAGCTGGGTGCCCCGTGTCCTTACAAATCACCCCTGATACAATATGGGAATTATGCTTGTCTTCTACCGCCAGAAAATTGAACGGGAACAGCTATTTGAACACTACTCTGTTGCAGATATCATTGATTCGACTTATATGAATGATGAGGAAATATTGTTTGAGTATAATGCCCTAATTGATAATATCCAAGAGAAGATGACGCTACAGTATATTCCAGACTGAAGCCCAAGGCAGCCAAATACCTGTGATAGGGCAAAGCAGAACCAAGACTGGTTTGATTTTATTCAATCACGATGAGGCCTTTATACGTTACCAAGGGTACAGCGATTATAGCCCCAGCACTGAGGGCAACACTGCCAAGTTTGTTACCAAAGTCAGGCTAATACATCAACATTTGACTTAATTGACCCGGAGCTAGAAGATTTAGAGGGGCTACCCCCAAGCCAAGACGGGCATGATTACACCCTACCTTCACTTGCAAGGCCATAGAATGACAATAGGGCCCAGTTGCCTCAGGGGGAAGTAGTTAAAACAATTGAGTTGAGCCAAGTCTGTAATAAGTCTTGGTCTGGTCAGGAAATTCAGGAGTCATGACGTAATATAGATCTATAGCAATAATTATAGTAATTGCCATCTACTACAAATTGCACATGGAAAATAAGTCATTATACGTATTATCTACACGTGATTGTTAACCAACCCTAGTCCCGTGACCAGTTTCTTGGCAGAACGATGGGGAACTGTGGGTTATGAGCTTCAGACCAGAACCGGACCATGGTCCGGTCTGGGGTCGGGGGACTGATGGGGTAGGTCCCCCGTGACGCACACTAGAGGAAAGGTTTAGGGAGGTCTTTCAGGAGCAGGGTGCAGAGGAAAAGAAAGTGCACATAAAGAGCAGGAAGCAAATGTGCGCCTTGTTGTTTGAGAAGAAGAGGTCGAAGTCTGATGGAGTTAAGGAAAAAGGGAAGTTATATAAAAAAAAAAAAAAAAAAAATACATGAAGCAAAAATGGACATCGAGGGTGAAGAGGAAGAGGAGTCAGAGGAGGAGATACTGGATTTCCAAACCACCCAGGAGGAAGAAGATGGTTCTTGGTATTCCGTGCAGTGCCATACAAGAAAAAGAAGTGGGCAGACATTGTCAAAGTCAACAAGGATACTCAAACACTTAAGGAATTGAAGTGGGCAGACATTGTCAAAGTCAACAAGAATGCTCAAACACTTGAGGAATTGAAGGGGGAGATTCAGAAATTGGTGCTGCCAGCCGAAAATGAGCCACAATCTCAATTAACCAATATAATTGGTGAAAATGGAAATTTTGTGTCGCATATGCCAAAGAAAATAGAAAATGCTGTCTGGAAGAAGCATAAACCTAGGCTCACAGATACTGAACAGAAAGCCATGTTCCCTCCTATGGATCCCCGGGTGATCCCAGAAGAAAAATGGTTGGATGTCATTGATGTTGCAAGAGATCTTGCATGTGCGCCACCAAAGCCCAAGGGACAGTTGCATGGTCCTACAGCACGATACCTCAGGCACAAAAAGGCACCATATGCATTTAACTATCGGGGAGAATTACGAGCTCCATACTAGGAGTATAGGTTTTTTGAGAGAAAAAATGGAGATAGGATTCTTACAGACAAACAAGCCAAAACTCTCTGCCTAGGCATAAATGAAGAGCATGCCCGCCTCCCGCACACACTGAATGTGAAAGGAAAGATATACCAAAGATCAGAGAAGATATTTTTTAGCAGCAAGTGGATGAGGTTACTCGTGTGCATGAAACATTTATCGAGCAGCAATCGGTAGAAATCAACAGACTGGTGGATGAAAATGAGATGTTGCAGGCTCAGATTAAGGAAGGTGTTAGAAGACAAGAGGGGATTTTGAGGGTCATGGCTGGTATTATTTCATATGGGCTGATTGATGGCGAATGCTTTTGAGACATGGATTTCTGATGGAATGGTGGAAATGGAGGGATTGCAGGACATGAATAGCTAGAAATGGGATAGCTTTGGGAACCGAGGATGGGGTATCTAATGGGGTGGATTGCTTCATTATTTGGTCGCTTAGGAGTGCTCATAGGGACACTCTCTTCAACACCATGTGTCGAAGAAAACGATCAGGGGGTGAGTGTGCAGAATGGATTAGTAATCAGGAAGGAATAACCGAAATAGCTTTATTATGGCCAGGCTTCAGAGCAGTAGTTTAAACCAAAAAAATACAACGATCATCAACCCACAAGTATAATAGCATCTACCGCGAATCGACACAACGACCCCACAAGGGTGCACTAAACTGACACACAATAAAATTAGGAATCAGCGAATAATGGTGAATAATAATATTCTATAACGTATTCCAAGGTAGCTCAACCACTTACAGAGCTTACAAGGAAAGACCTCACGTTCGAATGGACAGACAAGGCAGAAGCTGCTTTCTAAGAACTTAAGACAAAGTTCACAGAAGCACCTATCCTGACCCTACAAAGAAGATAGTCCTAGAGATGGACTCTTCTGATTTCACGATTAGAGCATGTCTAAGTCAACTAGACAAAAACGGAAAGCTCAAGCTAGTCGTATATTACTCTAGAAAACTGTCACCTACGGAGCTTAACTATGACATCTATAACAAGGAGCTAATAGCTATTGTCGTTGCTTTTGAGTGGTAGTGAGTATATCTTAAAGGATTGACCTACCCTATACAGGTATAGACGGATCATAAGAATCTCATATACTTCACTATAACTAAGGTTTAAACCATAGACAAGTCTGATGGGCAGAGACACTCACAGCCTACAACTTTACAATTTACATATCGCAAGGGCTCTGAGAATGCAAGAGCAGACGCTTATAGCAGAAGGACTGACCACATCAGCCCTAAAGAGGAAAGACTAGAGCCATATTAAAGAAAACAGACGTAGGAATGTAATACAACAAGTTGCTAGCCACGATTGCTACTATAGAGAACTTGGAGTTAGAAGAAAGACTTAAGAAAGCTTATGTAACAGACGAACGTGTAAAGCGAATCTTAATAAAAACCAAAGGCGACTTTGCCATCAATGAACAAGGATTAATCCGATTTAAAGGATTAGTGTATGTCCTAAGCAAAATGAGATGCCCGCTAGTGCAAGAACAACACTCGCTACTAGCACACGGCCATTAGGGAGTAACACGCACCTTCGAACGAATCACCTGACACTACTACTTCCTAGGTATGAGGAAGCAGGTTGAAACGGTAGTAAGAGAGTGCGACATTTGCAGCAAATAACCGTTCTATATTTCGTGAGTCTTTCCATAATAACCAGGATAGCGTCAAATACTACTCCAGCTCTTCGGAAAGCTGGCCTCCCAATTCCTCCGGAGTTTAAGGACCCAGTCCTGACCCGGAAGCCCCCCAAACTGAGAGCGAGAGTGAGGGCGAGGGCGAGGGCGAGAGTGGGAGAGAGGGTAGGAGTGGGAGCGAAGAAGTGATAATTTCAATAATGGCTTAACGTACATGTATAACGAACCGGCCAAACAAGCGAACCGGCCAATCCATTTTACACCTTAAATCACGAATTTCATAACTTAATATCTCAACAACCCTTTAATAATAAGTTATAAAAATATGTACTTAGCCTTTTATAAGCATTTAAAGTACTCTATTTGATTTTTAAAGCAATTAGTATTGTAGTTATTAAGATATTGAGTTTTAGCCCCCACTTTTGACCTAATTCTTAGTATCTTAATAACTACAATACTAATTGCTTTAAAAATCAAATAGAGTACTTTAAATGCTTATAAAAGGCTAAGTACATATTTTTATAACTTATTATTAAAGGGTTGTTGAGATATTAAGTTATGAAATTCGTGATTTAAGGTGTAAAATGGATTGGCCGGTTCGCTTGTTTGGCCGGTTCGTTACCTAACGTTGGCCCATTTTTCGATTCCATTGGACAGGATTTATCGTAAAAAATGGTCTAATACCAATATACACCATGCTACGCAGCCAATCTATTGGCTGCGTAAGCTGTACCTAGCTACATATTCTATTGCCAAGCCTATTGTGCCACTATTCCCACTTGGCACTATTCCAACAGCCAATCATAATATATAAAGGAACACTCTTACACAATAAGGTAGTAGTAGACACTATGCTAGGAATAGTATTGAAACCAGGGTTACACTAACAGCGTTAATAAATAGACACCTGTATAAGAGACAATTGTCAGAGTTAAATAATCCCAAAAATAAACACGTGACACATTGGCAAAATACACGTGATATATGGTCAACTCTATTATTACGAGGGTATAATTAAGGAGACAGTGTTTATATTATACTAATGAAGCAAATACTATATTATTATAACCCCTCCTCGAATACGTCTTGTAAACTACGTCTACTGCTATAAGCACCGTTGGTATCGTCGTCGTAGTGGTCATCGTCATCGTCATCGTCATTCTCATCATCCATAAATTGCTCAGGCCTGTCGTTACTACTTCCATCCTCGTCTGCCGAACCCCAGTCAATGTCATCCTTTAGTGTTCCAATAGATTGCTGTGCAATCTGGTCGTCTATAAGGGGCATTTTCCTCCGTCGTCCATACATATCCTTGAACTTCAATCGTTTTGGGCCGATATTAGTATGCTGGTTTCTTGGGTAGGCATCAAACCAGTTGAGGAGCACCTGTCTGGGTACCCCATTCCGAACACCATGGTTCTGTTCGAAGTCAAGGTGGAGCTTTACCTTTACAGCTAGTGACACAAACCAGTCTAATATAGTTAGCACAAAACAGTAACCACTTATAAACAACGTACATTTAATCCAGAACGGGCCTGGAGCAATTGACGCTGTTCCGTTAGGATGCAGTTCACTTGACTCAATCTTCTCGTAGAACAGTATATATCGACTTGCCCAGCAAAAGACACTCTCTGCATCAACAATGCTGTAAATAGACTCGAACACTTCAAAGAGTCGAGATAGGTCTTGTTCATTCAGCAGAAACGACATGGATGGTTTTGTAAGGGTTTTACCAACCCATTCCTGTACATGTTCAGACAAGCTACTATATTTTGGGTTGGAGGGTCATACCATCATGCAGGTAATAGTCCGGTGCTTCCAGGTATTTGTATTGCCTCTTGCTTTATAGAGAGCCTTGTCTCGAAGCGCAAAGTTCTCATCGAAGTCAACAGATAGTGTAACGTCATTTACTATAGCCTCAAGCTCCTTGTCTGTTGCTCGCCCATATCGGAGGGTAAGTCGTCGTATTTCAGGATCCAACTTCTTCCTGATTTGTTTCCACGCATTGTTGTCAAAGAGCTTTGTCTGGCTAGCTGACCGTTGAAACGGTCCCATAGTGCTATTATGGGAACTGTGGGTGTATTGCTTAGTATGCTTTGCAGTAGGTCGACAGGCTAGTAATGAGTTGGTAGATCCAGTAGAATTACTACTTCTACTACTCTGTTGAAGCGTAGATGCAACAGTGTTTCGACAGTTGTTGTTCGACCGAAGCTGTTGAGTCAGGTCCAAATGACCATTCTCAAAGGATAGCGTAGTATCTGGCTGGGTAGGGAGTTGAGAGGAGGCCGCATTCATTAACCCCCCCTGGACACGCTCAGTTTGAGACATTGAGGGGCTAGTTGTATTGGGTGTATCGTGTTGTAGTAACTGCAAGGTAGGTGAATTCATTGATGTCAATGGGGCTCCTTGAACAACCGAGTCTGGAGAATGCTGGCTTTGGGACAACCCTGGACTATTTGAGTCGCGTGGAAGGAGGTGGCCTAATCCATATGGGTATTGAGACCCAGAATTCCGAGCATTCTGTAGCTGGGAGTTTCCGTAGTTGTAATCCTCTTGGCTGTGGGCTTGCACTGCACCCTTAGCAATGCGTCTTGGTCGACGTGATGTCTTTGGCATAGTAAGGAACCTACAACCCAAGAATTAGCCTATCTTCTGTACATGTTCAGAGGGGGGCACAAACACTGATTGTATATTCTTATACACTCTGTAATTATACCATAATATATAGTAGTTTGAGAACACAGTATTGTGGTTGTACGTGTATATTTCCAAACACTCTATTACGCGTGTGTGGAGCAAATATATGTGAGCACGTGACCCAAGATGACTAACACAGTAGTATTATCCAACTCTGTATGCGGCTCTTACTATAATATAACCCCCGTATTCAACAGGAGGTCTTCAAGCAACATATAGTGAATCATAATGGACTTAAGCCCAGATACAACATATACAGCTGAGGATTTTGGCAATCCAAATCGTCGGCGAAGGCGCAAGTGGCCAACTTATAGTGCAAACCTTCGAAGACATGTTGCACATCGGACTACACAAATAGGCCAGGCAGAGGCTGTACGGAGACGACACCTGCAGCTTCCTATTCCTAATAATGAAACAAGTAGCATCCAAACCTGTATAATACCTCCCTCGCTAACATTAAACCAGCCAGAAGACTACTACACAATGTATGATAGTGACAGCAATAGTAGTCCTGCCTTTATCTCCAACGATCAACCGGCCAACACAGGATCTAATATGCCAATTATGGAGCCAGGCTCTTCCTATACATGTTCAAAGGACGCTCTTTATTGT